GGGTGGAAAATCCCCTTGGGGCCACATATAACACTATAAATACAAAGGGAACCCCCTTACAATGAATTAAGGCAAAATAAATGTTTTTCTACGGAAAGTCCAATGGATTTGTTTTTTAATACTTACAATCAACAGAATATTTCTAATATAAATTTTCAAAAAGACACCAGAGAGAAAATTAAATAAAATCAATCAGACGGTAATAGACACCGGTAAGCTTTGTCAATTTCACCAACTTGTTTATTTCAAACAGCGTTGCGCGCAAAGGTTTGTGGGTAATATGAGGGTCCAACTTGCCCCGAGTCAAGGGGGCCAACTAACCCCGGGTGCACATTATTTATTTTAAAGGATGGTAGCCATTTATGGTGCTAGAATGAGCAACGATGATACATCTCTGTGAAACTTGAAACAATGAGCTTCAGTTTGATGCCCTATACATATCTTATATTCGATCAATAGCCTATAAAAATAGATTTTTAAATCTCTTAAACAAAATTTCTTTTAGGTGCAAAAATCGTTTATTTCGACTCACCGCTTAAGTAAAACTTTTTAACGTCCGACACTTCCTTAGCATTGTAGGCTACGGTCACTTTACAAGAGTATGTGGCCAATTTTTTTACCTCGTAGTTACTTTTTCATAAATTGACGGGGGGCCAACTTACCCCGGGGTCCAACTAGCCCCGGTCTCCCCTATTTCTCCGAACAAAGAATTTACATCTATATAATATACTCCCCTAGCAAAGAAAAAGTGTCACCCCTACCGCAACCATGTACATTGCAACAAGGGTACTCATCTATCACCCGAGGTTTCCGTTTCACGTTTGAACTGTCGACAACTAACAGGTGTAAGAATAGCATAGGGTCAGTGGGTAGATAGCGGTCTTAGTATGAATTTGATTATAACTGTTAAAAGTGTATTTTGAAGGCATTTCTAGCCTTCGGCTATTTCCGTAAAGCTCCCAGTAAAGCTTCGGTACATGTATGTGTCAGGCATCATATACTTTTAATAACACCACGTCAGATAGAAGGAATTAATAATAATAATAATAATAATAATAAGATTCTTATATGGCGCCTTACATTCTATCTCAAGGCGCCTTACAATAATGGCTAATAAACTAAAATCANTTTTTAGGTCACCGGCTTTGTAAAGCCTGGCTTAATTCGTTGAGAATGCGCTCTTAATGACCTCAGGGGGACAACCTGTCTGCAGAAATCTTTCTCTCTCTCTCTCTCTCTCTCTCTCTCTCTCTCTCTCTCTCTGTGTGCGTGTAAAAGGCTGTGTGTGACTTTATTTATGTTGCACAGTAAATGATAAAAACTAAATGTTCATCAGCAATATTAACATTTTTGATAAAAGCAAAAAAGAAAAAAAAATCAAATAGATGTTTTCAGCGAAATCTCCAAAAAAATTACACAAATATACAGTGCAGACCAGTAAACATGCTGATCCTTAATTCTCTTGATGGTAAAAGCTGGCAGTCCCATATCTTCTGCCCTTTTTCATTGTGTAATATAAAAACAGTGAGTGTGATTACAACGTCCTATGTGGTCTTGTTTTTTTGTAGTGGCTTTTGCACTACCCTGAATATTGAGAATGCTTCAAAAAGTTTTATCACATTTTCGGAGAAACCCAAAGAAATGCGAGAGCTCATATCAAGGGTGATTCTAAAACTGAAGGAAATTTATTTTCATAAGCTTCATATGACATCCAGCTTCCTTAGCTGCCTGTATGCTCTGCTTGTGTGTTCCCAACTTGTTCTGAAGGCAAGGAATAAATATATATTACTTTCAGCACTGGAGGCAAATTGGAGTGAAGGCAAAACTGTGAGTGTATGAATTAGGCTGTAGTTGCATCATTATACTACTACTGTACATATTTAGACATGTATAATCATGTTTATTTGTTTTTGTTTTATTCGTTTGAACTGGTAATGGACCTGTGAAAGAAGTGAGATGTTGAGAAAGATCCAGTTGGAAGGAAAAGATTAACAGTGAAGTTTACTTTTTATCTCCCTTAATGAAGAAGGCTGGTTTTCATTAGTGCTGTGTTTTGTCTGTTTGTTAGTAGACAAGGTAATATCTCAAAAAAGTATGCATTAGGCTTCGTTCACATGCAATGTCTATTTTCTATTTTCTATTTTCTATTTTCGGTATGTCTTATGATCACGGTCTGTGCACTGAATATCCCGCCACGTAATTACTGGCAGCGCGAGCCAGTTACTTATAGTAACTTATAGTAACTGGCTCGCGCTGCCAGTAATTATGCCGCGGGATATTCAGTGCACAGACCGTGATCATAAGACATACCGAAAATAGAAAATAGAAAATAGACATTGCATGTGAACGAAGCCTTAATTACTATATGAAATTTTCTGCAAAGAACAGTTACTAATAGTTATTAAGCAGGAAGGAAGTGGTTATAATTTCAAGATAATTAGGATCTCCTTATACCTTTTTCAATTACAAATTATTCACAATCATCAAATGAAGCAAAATGGTGTTTTTGGAATAATTATCAATATTGACTATGAATTATGTATTTAAATGTTATGTTTAAAACTGAACATCCAGTCCAGTAAGTTTCAGGATGTGCAGAAGTCATTTCACCTGTAGTGTACAAAGTGGAACATGTACCACAGAGCATTTAAGGTATACGTTACACCATGTACAGTGCATTCTGGTGAAGACTTGCCGTTCTGTGAATAATGCCCAAATCACCCTGGTATGAACTGATAATTTATTTCTATTACTTTTGTCATGCTAGTAGTAATACAGTGAACCAATTCACATGGGCTCAGTTCTGGACTGGTTTCTTGGTATCTTGAACTGGTTCGTATTTTGGGAAAATGTCCCAGTCCTGTTTGGTACCTACTTAAGTGTAAAACTTCTGAACTTCCAAACCAAAAGATTGGTCACACTTTGTTCAAGTAAAATTCACAGTAGTCCACTGAAGTAAGTACTGACTGTATTAGTAAGTGCTGTTGGTCTGAAACACAAACTGTGTCTTTCTTGTTATAAGAAGATATTGCATGTCATTGGACTCTCTCTTTCTCTCTCTCTCTCTCTCTCTCTCTCTCTCTCTCTCTCTCTCTCTCTCTTGATTGAAATCCGTTTACTAGAAATTGACTGATTGCAGAATCTCAATACAACGATTTGCTCTAATTCTCTCAACCGACAAAACCACAGTTTGATTAAAACAAAATTACGCTGGATTAAAAGAACCGAGCAGATAACATTCCTATTCCCATTAATCTAACACATGTTCGCCTACTGACAACCAAATCGAGTCCTGGCTATCTCTCTGCTCCCATAAAAGTTGATTTATAGAAGATATTTCCCATTATGTTTAGCATTTATTGCTGAAGTCCCTCCATCATTGGCTGGTGTGTCCTCCAGTAACCCACATTAGATAAAGTTGGTATTGGAAGATTGTGGAAAACTAGTACTGGGGATATGATCCTTTCTTGTGGATTGGTTTTTGTAGAGGAGTGTTATGGATATTGATGCAATACAGGCTGAATTGAGGTATGATAGAAAACTGGTAATTCATGAATGTTAATACTGTTAATGTTTGTGTGTGTGTGATTGTGTGTCTGATTAGTTTCAGTCATGTACTGTAGTATTTGAGTATGTAAAAGTTTGGAATTTTCTTTTATTTTGGATGTTAAATTGTTTGCATGCATGATTGTGAGTTGAGGGGTATGTGTGGATTTGATTTTTTTTTTTTTTTTTTTTTTTTTTTTTGCAAATGTTTGTGTGCATGTGTGTGTTTCTGAGTGTAGCTCTGAGAATGTTTGTGTATGTGTGTGTTTGAGTGTCCATGAACAACTTGGTGTGCCTGGGCATGCATGTGAGTACATTTGTACATGTGGGCACACACTTGTGGGTTGCATGAGGCAGAGAGCTGAAATGGAAATCCATTTCCAAAAGATCATGATAAACTTGGAACTGGGGAAAATATTTCTGCCAAAGTCAGTTTGCATAGATCTGTCTTACTGATATTGATTGTGTATAGTGTGAGCTGAGGTTGGGTAGACCACCATGTAACTGAAACTTGATAATCAGTTGTTTGTTTTTTGGTAAGAGAGTAAGAGAGGAGGAATTGGGAGGGAGTTTGGAGTTGGAGATCCAGTGTATGTAAATATATGTTATGATATTTTGGGATGGAGTAAATGGCTGATGTACGCTTTGTGCTTTGTGGATGGTAAGAGAAAGACATGGCTCTATGTGTGAAATATTACAACTTTTGTCACACTGTATCGTAACATTGTAACTTTTCAAAAATATCCATTGATTTTGAAAGATTTATCTGAATGTAATGGTTATACTGTAACTGTTATTGCTAATTTGTATAATGTCAGTAATATGTCCATGGATGGGGCTGTTTGTGTTATATTGTTACATTGTATCATTTCAGTAATATGTCCATGGATGGGGCTGTGTGTAAGAGGTGTGCAGAAGGTTTTGGCCCAGAAGAGAAGATTGTCAACTCCAATGGAGAGATTTGGCACACACAGTGCTTTGTGTAAGTTTGGTTTGCTTTATGCACGTTTGCGTACACACATGTCCAACCATATGCACACATGCACCTGTACATATAGAAATACAGAGGGTTGTGGGGCTAGCTATGCACAGATATATCCCTTTCTTAAAATATTTTTATTTGATATATTTTGCTACATTTATTAATACATTGGATTATTTCCTTTTTTTGTTTACTAAATGGCTTAATTATTTTAGCTATATTCATTTTAATTGATCTCAGTTAAAAAAACTCAGTCATTATCTTTTATCATTTTTACAGCAGATTTATTTCAATGGAATTGATTTTTCATTATGAAGCTTTGTTACAAAGCATGAGTTGCATGTTATATCTGTTTCATATGGACTGGTAATTAACTAATGGTGCATGTTTTTTTGTTCCAATTGTTCATAACATGATGAGACGGCCTTGACTTATGTGGAAAAATTCAACATTCCATTAACTTACTTGCTGGCACATTTAGGTGGAAAGGGGTAGAATAATATGAAACACCAAAGGAAAAAAATTACATGGGAAGAGAAAAAAGTAAAAAATGGACAAGACAATAAAAAATTCACATAATTTGTGAAGCATTAAGCTTTGTTCGTGCAACTATTAGTACTTATGTTTCACATGGTCGAGAATGCAAAGCATGTTTCACGTAACATGTTTCACATGTTTGGTAGTATTTCACATTGCATGGCAGGATTCACATAGCAGTGTGATTCAATTCACATAGGAGGAGACAGGAATGGTAGTTGTTGTGATGATATGGGCATGCTCACTCCAGGCCTAACTTTGACCAGGAATTAACCATTTGACAAAAGCATGAACCGTGTTATATATATAAATAATGACCCGATTTTGAATTACTGTCCAGATTGGTCTCATTAACCCCAAAGACCCAACAGAACAAACTTGGGTCTGTCAGCTTTGGAAAGTGGATTCTTTCACTTTCATGGAAGATATGAGATGGCAGAATTGCTAATTGATTTGAAAAAGAAAGAGGGTGACCATGAAACCACATTTGTATATGTTGACCACCTGCATTGTGGCGCCATCTTTTGAGACTCATACTTGACCACTGGCACCATCTTTTGAGTGGCTTGGATGTGAATGTATGCATGAAGGTAGGGTAGAACACGCATTGCACAGAGCTTGCACAGTTGGAGGCACTTCAAGTGACCTGTGTTGGTATTCTGTAGTTCTAAGTGTGATTGGAGTATATGGTAGAGATAGCAAGGTAGACAACAAGATCTTCTGTGGTAGTTGGTTCGTTGGAAAGGTACCTGTCATAACTTTCAACTCCTTTATGGCACAAAGTTTTTTTCTGTTTTTGAAACTCAGGAGTCATCAGCTGATCTGCAACATTTTGATTTCCATTCTAAAAACAAGCTATTTTTTTTTCAAGTTTAACTTTTTCCATGCAATAATTTTATTGCTAGATTTTTTGAAAAAAAATTGATGAACAGATGAATAATCTTTGTCCATAAAGGAGTGTATGGCCTGTAGTTTAGTTCCTTATGTGGCTTCAGTTTCTTTATTTTTCACACATGTATCACTTATTATTTATTATAATTATTATTTCCTGGCTGTTCTTTCTACCTCCCTCTGCGCTGTTTACAGTCTAGCTGGCAATATGCCAATACAAAACACTGCAGTTTGCCAGAAATGTAGAGAAGGCATAGATACGAGTGAGTCCATGGTCAACTACAATGGCCAAGTGTGGCACCCTCACTGTTTCTCGTAAGTATAGTCATAGCTCACACACTGTCATACTTAACACACTGTCACAACTTGTCTGTCACATGTCACGGCTTACCTGTCACACCTAACACACTGTCACAACTTGCCTGTCCCACCCAACACTGTCACAACCTACCTGCTACACCTACCAAATTGTCACAGTTATATGTCACACCTAACACATTGTCCATCACAGATTACACTTCACTCCATCTTATCCATTACAACTAACATTTAATCTTGGAAATATTCCTTCTAGAAGAATAGCATAGAATATCTAGTATGCAAGTATAGATCTCAGCGGAAAATTGGAAGATCTTGATGAAATGAGGCGTAGATATGAAGTAGTAGTTGAAGAACTGATAAGAAATCCAGAAACACGTCATGCCAATGTTGCCTGGAATACATGTAGCTGTTGTGAGCTAGAATCAAACGTGAAGATTGTATTGTGGCCAAGACTGGAAGTTCAGCAAGGTTTTACTGCTTGTAGATTAAAAAAAAATATTCAAATATTTGAACTCTTCTCTAATCCGGCATATAGTTTCCATTTTAAACAGTACTCTCAACAAACAGAAATGGAAAACTGAAAATGGAAAACTGTGCTGATATTGGAGTTAGACAATTGTACACTGAAACTCATTTTTTTTAAGTGATTGATGAAAATATAGACACTGTGAGACATATATATATATATCATTGCTGCCTGAATTATGCTAGGTTTGCAGCTTACTTACCTCAGGGTGTGGATGCTTGGAAGCTGTGCTTGGAATTTCCAGGGTGGCATACATTATATATATCCATGTGTGTGAACTATATAGATTGATTGAAGTGTGTTTTTATACTTGTGCATAAAATTGTATAAGCTATTTTCGAATTGCTAAAGGGGCAAATTAAACTCTGTGGCTTACGTATTTAATTTATTGGATTTAAAGCAAGAGGACCAGATGCCAGACCACTGAGGTGGTTTCTTCTCTCAACAGCTAAAATCAGCATTCTCAGCCTGTAGCTAGCACTCAAAGGATAAAAGTAGAGGTTTTTTTCTTGAAAAAATGGGGCATTGTTACCATGAAACCTCTGTTTGTGTATGAAATATATATCAAGTTTTGAGTCAAAGTTGACCTTTCCTCAGCCAAAAAATTTGTTTGAAGCCCAAAATTGTCCCCTTTGTTTGTCCCTACCCGGGGCATATAGAAGCCGTTGTAGCCTCAGTCCTAGAAAGGCGTCAGGTGTTGAAATATTGGAAAACAATCATTTTCCTTGAAAAGAACTTACAGATTCTGAATTCTTTATCTGGAGATGTTGATAAAATTTTAAGATTAATGTAATTGAACCAATATACGTAAAGTTGATGTTGTATTTGACAGGTGTGCCCAGTGCTTCCAACCTTTTCCAGATGGGATATTTTATGAGGTAAGTACCAGGGGTTTGTTTCAGCAAATAGAACTAAAGTTTAGGGACTTTGCTTAGACAGCTAACAATAGATAGTTGACTATTTGAGTTTAGCAGTATAAGCTTCTGTTTATCTAAGAGTACTTTGCAAGTGATTGACCCACGTGAAAATAAAGTTGAAATACCCAATGTCATCACTCGTGGTGGGTATGATAGTGAAGATTTCTAGGGTTAGAGAAGAAAAAACTACATTTTAAGGTTCTGACAATCATGAAATTCCTGAATCACATGCAGATAAAATAAGAAACAATTCTGTATACTTTAAATGTGAATAAAATGCAATGATTTTCAGTTTGAGGGACGCAAATACTGTGAGCATGACTTCCATGTGCTGTTTGCCCCTTGCTGTGGAAAATGTGGTAAGTTGCAGAAACTGAAAAGAAAAACTCAATAATATGACAATATACAAAAATATCACATTTTTAAAACTGAATACTAGTATTAGTAATTTTAGTTTTAAAAATGCTTACAGTTTTATTGTAGTTTTCTTATATACAAAACTAACAAAGAAAAGTATTTTATTTATTCATTCATCAATTTAATAGCTTTTTTAAGATAACAAAAAGATGTCTGCTTTTGGACTATTGAGAGGATTTTTTTTATACAATTAAACATTTATTTTTTATAGCTGCCTTTTGGAAGTAGTTTGTTTGATCTGCTCAGTATATCTAGTGGTAATTTTTCAGGGGAGTTTATCATAGGTCGGGTCATAAAGGCCATGAACAACAGTTGGCATCCAGATTGTTTCCGCTGTCACACCTGTCGCAATGCACTCGCAGACGCTGGCTTTGTCAAAAATGCAGGAAGGTGGGTTCTATTCTGTTCTGTGCAGTAAATGCAGTACAGATGCTCTATAGAAATCTAATTTTTCTGATTATAATATGCTGTATCTGTAAGTTTGATCATTTTTGCCCATTGAAAAAATAGTAAGTCATTATTGTTTTACTTTCCATATTTCCAGGGCACTATGTAGAGAGTGCAATGCCAGAGAGAAAGCTTCAGGAATGGGGAAATATGTCTGCCATAAGTGCCAGTAAGAAATTTTTTTAAAATCAAATTATGTATTTTTAATGCATACCACTTTGTGTATGTATCATAAGTTTTGTTGATTATAAATAAGTTGACTGATTGTGAAATTTTCAAAAATATTTAATCATTTTTATAAGAGTAGAAAACTGGGAATCGTAAATATTCTATTTGATGTAATTGTTATCACAGATTGGCTGTTTGGTGTCTCTAAGTTTTCTTTTACGCAGATACATAGAAATTGATTTTTTTAACTTCTACTTTGAAATTATTCTTCAAAGACTAAATTGTTATTATCAGCCACTGTGGTTCCTCTTTCTTCTTTTGCTTTCTATTTTTTCAGAATTCTAGTTTAAAATTGACTTTCAAAGTCCTTTCAGACAATTTTCAGATGTTCTCTAATTTCAGTGCTATAATAGAAGAAGGATTTATCAGACATAAGGGGGAGGTCTTTCACCCATATCACTTCAATTGTACCTCTTGCGGGTAAGATACCCTTTTACCAAAAATAATAAATATTATTATTATTATTATTATTATTAAGAATAACTACCAAAAGGTTGAAGTTTTGTATTCATAGTTGAAATACTTAAGAATATTGAATGAAAAATTGATTCAAATTATATATTCAAAGTATATACAGAATTTAAATCTTAGAAGTATAAGTTTGGTGAGATTTTGGTGCAAAAAATATAAAATACAAAGCTCATGCAAGGAAAACATTCTAAATATTGTCAGAAGATACACCTTGAAAAAGAGCATTTGTTTGATTTTGTTGCAGAGCCCCAATCATAGGTTTTGTTAAAACAATAAAAAAGATCTGCATGTCATTTACATTTTCACCATGTAAGAGAATATTTGTGAGATTTTATGAAATAATGTCATATTTGGTTAAGTTAATCAGGACCACGCTTAACATACATATTCTCAGTGCTTAGATATTCTTAATACTCCCTAATTTGACATCCAGGATTGAGCTGAACGCCGATGCTCGTGAAAAATCTGGCGACCTCTTCTGCCTGCGTTGCCATGACAAAATGGGAATTCCAATCTGTGGTGCATGTAGACGACCAATTGAAGAGCGTGTGGTGTACGCACTGGGCAAGGCCTGGCATGTTGAGGTAAGGGTTACAGTTATAGTAATAGTAGTAGTGGCAGTGGCTGCTAGTCTCAGAGCAGTAGTTGTTGATGTTGCTGTAGAAGTTGAAGTTATGGTTGTGTTTAAATGCAGGTTCTAAATGAAGAAGTCTTCACATTATGTCATTAACATTTTCCAGCATTTTGTCTGTGCCAAGTGTGAGAAACCTTTCCTTGGACATCGTCACTACGAGAAGAAAGGGTTGGCGTACTGTGAAGTCCACTACCATCAACTATTTGGCAACATTTGCTTCACATGTAACAATGTCATAGCTGGAGATGGTGAGTTCCTGGTATTGTAAAAATGTCAAAAACTAAAACACACTTCTGCAAGAGTGCAGACCTCTGCCAAGAAAAAAGAAACATCAGTATTTTTTGAAAGATGCTCGAGACCTTGATTCACTGTTATCACTTCTTTTTTATTCCTGACTAAGTGGCTACCTGAAAATTTCATCAAAATTGGTAGATTCATGTGCACTGTTATACAAAATCATGAATAATTGTGTTTTAGTACAGGAATTAAATAACATTTAATTATACCAAAGGCTCACCTTGAAATGTGATATTTGTTTCCTTGATTTGCAGTCTTCAGTGCCTTGAACAAGTCCTGGTGTGCCCACCACTTCGCCTGCTCAGTCTGCGACAAGAAAATGAGTCAGAAGTAAGCGTCCTCTTTAATATGATCAGTGTGCTTATTATTTATATTTTAAATTTATTATTTGATTTTTATTTACTTTTTTCACCCAGTAGATCATGTCATCTTACTGTTCTATTCTATTGTTATATATTTATTTTGCCTGATATGTATTTACACATCGTTTAATAATTATCATTCAATTTTTTCCAGGACCAAGTTTTTTGAGTTTGATCTGAAGCCTGTGTGCACCAAGTGCTACGAGAGATTCCCCACTGAATTGAAAAAGAGGCTGAAGAAATTGTACGATGCTCAGAACAAGAAATAAACAGACATTTTATTCCTGAATGACATAATCGATGGAGGAAATGAATGAATGGTGTATGCAAAAGAAGATGCGATACCATAAAAAATTTTAAAAGATTAGCAGCCAACTTTGCATCTGCTTACAACTTAAAGATGTAAAGAAAATAGTAGATGCCAAATGCCAAGAAAAGGCCCTTTTTAAAAAAGGGTTTGAAGTATATATGGCTTAATATCAGAGCATAAAGTATATGCTTAGCGGCCTTAAGTGTAAAGAGATGGTAGAAAGATTACTTTAGCTCTTGAAGCACAGAAGAAGAGGATTGAAGAACTGACCAGTTGCAGGTTAAACAAGTTTTGACCAAATACATAAAAGACTGTAAGCCTGAAAATTTGTCTAAACTTTTAGACCAAAAATTTAGTCTTCTTTAGGGCAGGAAAAATTCACAGTAATCGAATTAGATGAAGTGAGTTTCAGTCTAAAACATTAGTCATATCTAATAAAAGAGGGAAGGTCAAGGAGAATGACCACTGTGTGACCACTGCAAGGTGACAGAAATCGCAGATTGTTTAAATATTAACACATTTGTGGCCTGTGTCACAAATTGTCTGTCAATTTTGGGGCTGAACTTGGGCTGCTAAATTTGCATACTGTTGCTGTGTAGCTCAGTCAGCCAAACAGCAATATTGGTCTAGGAGCTTATTTTGAACAGTTGCCTTACAATGGATATAGTTTATGTAGCTTAATGGCCTGTGTCACTGCTGTGCGTAAAAAAAAACAAACATTGCCATGGCAACATTAAAAGTTAGACCAACGACAAAGTTTGAGGCATAAAGAAAGGGAAAACGGGTTTACAACCATGGCGAAACCCTAAAAAGTCATAGAGCAAGATTTTTGGCAGTTTTTGCGAGTGGGGTTCATAGTCGAGTCCTTTACAGCCTCACTTATTTTTGGAGCCTTGACCTTATTAGTTTTAGGCAAATACTAAACTAGCCAAAAGTAGTGGCAATGTTTAACAACGATACTGCTGATTATGCTAAATGCATATATATGTATGTGTGAGCCAGTGTAACGTGTTGTATATGATACAGATATAGCATTGTGTAGTGAGCTTGTTCACTGTATGGTAACTACTCACAAGTTTTGAATACCCTGTGTAGTAAGTCCATTTTATAATTTAAAGGTTTTGAATTGTATGCACGGGTAAAACTGGTGTAGCATAGCTGAACTCGGCTCTCTATTTAAAATGCGTTTTTTTTTTGTTTTGTTTTTTTTTTTGTTTTGATGAAAACATTTATATTTCTTTAAGAAAGTTTAGTTAAAGCCTAGTGAAAAAAATTCAGGGTGCGTGACCCATGCTCAGCGTAAGTAATGCACGCATTAAAGGAGACATTATATAATGGATTTGGTCATTTTGAGTTTTAATAGAATCATGAAAGTATGTTACTTTATGTGCTTTGGGATATACATTGTAACTCTAGAAATGATATTTTTTTGTAGTAGAAGCAATGGCATGTTTAAGTTTTCCAGCTGATGTTAATATGAATGCCAGTCACATTTATGTCATTGTTATTTATATTGTATTGTTAGTTTTATTATTATATATTATACTGTAACATTGTCCCTGAAATAATACAATTATATATATTTAAGAAGTGCAAGTAGTAGTAGTAGTTTCTTAGGTCTTTTTTATATTTATTTATTTATTTGTTTGTTCTATTTTTTTTTTTTTTTTTTTTAGAAAACCATCTATCACTTTTCTTTTGGAATGTAGATCCAATTTTTTTCCACATTTTATAAGAAAATGCCAGTGTCAAGTTGGTAGGAGTGAATCTTATATTAGCTTATATAATTGTGTACTAGGCGTAAAGATTAAAACTTGTTGTTTGCATGGTTGAAGGAAATCATTTCTGGAAAGTGAACAGGTACTGAACAGGATTAAATCTGATTTATTTTTATTTATATGTTACCATGATATTGGGCATTGTCTTATAGTAAATACACAAATTTGTACCACAATTTACTATAAGAATTTTAAGATTTTTTCATTTTCTGTGAAACAAGTTTTCAGCCAGAACTTGAACAACTTTCACAAGCAAGCCTTTCTTTTAGTTCTAATACGTAGTCAAAGCATTGCTTTGAGGAAATATGTGCTATTATTATTATTTTTATTATTATTTTCCCCTTTATCATTGCATGGCTTTACTATGCCCATTTATTGTTATACACATGGACTGTTGTTCTGCATCACAATGTATCACACATTGTTACATTTGACCCAAGTAATATTAGCAATGAATAAATGAGTAAATTCTGAAATATAATGATATTAAGTGACTTGTTTGTTAAATGCACGTATGGTAGTTCTGTGTTCTAGATTACGAATACTGCTGTAGACACACTTCAAGGTGAACAAGACAATCTCAGGTTTAACTTGGATGACGGGAGTGACTTGGACAACTGAACTCAAGTTTTAAACGTTTAGTCTGCCCCACCCACCCCACCCGCACCCCGAAATACACTGGCAGTAGGTTATGCTCCCACTTCCCCCTACTTTCCCCCTATGTCCCCACTTTCTTCTAAGACAGCACCAATGATTTTGAGTGCATAATGTAACTCTTAGCTTGGCTTTAAAAGCATGCTCAATTTTTGGCATTTTCAGCTTTTCGTAATGACTTTTGTTGTTAAATATGAACGGACATCATAGGTCCAATGATATCTGTTTTATGAATAGCAATAAATTCGTTCATTTTCCAATAGACTAATTCGACAGAACAAAAGAGAAAACGATAAAAAATACCCCTGTGTAAATTTTGTAAGCAGTGCGCTTGCAGATTTAATTGCTTCCATCTGGCCAAAAGTAACACGGTGGCTGGTGGAAAATGTGCCTATAATATCTGCCGCCCTGGAAGAGGGTACTCTCCTCCAAATCCTGTGAAATCTCGCTTGATTTTAGTCGCGCACAGTGGGTTAACATTATATGACATCACAACTAACGCAATCATATCATTTCATTGTGTTGCACCATCTCAACTACCACATTACTGAAAATCAGATAGACGGCTGTTGAGATAGACTACTTTATGGTATATTACCACTCCATGGGATAAATGTCCTGATTTTATTGACAAATCGACTTCAATGGATAAAATGCGACTTCATTCCCACATAAGATATTGACTGCGACTTCATGGGATAATGGTGAAAAAAGTGCCTATTGTTGGCCCTGCGTTTTGTAAGATAACGTTTTTGAAATATCATGTTTTTGTACTGTAAATATTATCCAAGATAGGAAAACTGAACGTTTTAATTGTTATGAAAAAAAGAAAGTAAAAGAAAAGCATTTTACAGCACAGGTTTGAGGGGTCATAAATAGTGCATCACGGTAAAATGTAACGTTTATTCTTTTTGAAATTTAGAATAAAAAGCAACACGAGGAAAAGCAATAAATATCTGTAGCCTATATGATGATACTTATCCACTTAAATTATATATTTATCATTTATAATTACTGTAAGAAGAAGAGGAATAACGTTTTCAACTAAAATATACAGTACATCAAAAACTGGTTTGAAATTAGTAAGATTTAAGATATGAAAATAAAATGACTGATTTATATAAATGTAGGCCTATATTTTAAAAAGAAGTAGAGTTAAAACGAAAAATAAAGAGAAAAGCTCTTTAAAAACTTTTAACTGCCTTGAAAAATGGAAATTCTCTTTTTGCTTGGTAAAAATTTAAACATACTTGCACATGAAAAAAGCCATTCTTCTATATATTTGTGCAGGTCATACGAGTCTCTGCCAGGTCATAAACACTTATAATAATTATTATTATTATTATTATTATTATTATTATTATTATTATTATTACTATTATTATTATTATTATTATTATTATTATTATTATTATTATTATGCTGTACATGTATCCTTCAATGTTATTTATTTATTTATTTATTTATTTATTTATGATTTTGGAAGGTGATCTACAATTAAATTTTGTCCGTTTTTATTTATATAAAACAGTTTTACTGCTAGTAACATTTTAGTTTCAAACTCCTTTTTATAAATATGGTGACCTGTTTAATTTTCATCAAATAGTTAAAAGAAAGCAACGGCTTTACAAACGGCCCAAGATCTTATTTTCTGCAGGCCAAAGCGCCAATGCGGAGCGCGAGGTCTTTTTTCAGTCAAGAACGAGTCATGTCTCTTCTGCCTCTCCCCTTCTACCCCCCCCCCCCCCCACCCCTTCTCCTCTGCGTCCACCGCTGTCGCCTTCAAGCAATCTAACTGTACAGTCGTATTTACCACAGCTGCGCGGGTAGACCACGATCACGGCGTAGCCATAATAAGGTTTGTGAGGTAAAGATTGACATTAGATGGCGTGTTTTCATTCTAATTCAAGCTATTTTGAATGAAGTTTTTCTCAGACAAACATTCTTGTTTTTGTTATTTTGCCCTTAAAATTGGGCCATTCACCATTGACTCGGGTTATCTGATAGGGGCGCAGTAGTACTTGTGCAAACAAATGCTTGTGCCAGTGCAATTTCATAATGTGTCATTCTTTTTTTCTTTTATATTGGTATAATGGTTGTGTGCAATGAGGAGGAATCAACATACCTAGCTTTGCCCCATGGAACAGACGGTTTGAGGAGCGGTTTGCTTAATTGTCTTTGTCAAACAGTTGATATGCAGTTCCATTTTTACGGATTTAAACTCTCTCTCTCTCACACACACACACACAAACACAGAGAGAGAGAGAGAGAGAGAGAGAGAGAGAGAGAGAGAACTTTTGTTTGGTACAAAGAACAAATAGAAAGTTAGATTGCTTGAAGGTGACAGCGGTGGACGCAGGGGAGGGGGGGTGGAAGGGGAGAGGCAGAAGGGACGTGCCCATCCAACAGTACCTGAGGAACCCCTGTCCCTCCTCCCCCCATAAAATAAAACAGTATAACGAACAAACCGAGACAAAACCGATCGATTTTTCCATTCCTGCGCCTTACTATAGGAAAATTGTCCAAGCGTAATGTTTATTTTTTTTTTGTTTCACCTTTATGCTCCCCCGCCTTAACTACAACCTTGAATCCACAAGTGAGGTACGAGTTGCTTTAGCAAACACTTCATCTCGTGACAACACGGCGTTTTGTTGGCAAAGAATCACGTTCAATGAAAATCAGAATGTCGCTGATATGAAAAAAAAATCAACAGCTCGACAAGTTGAAAAGCCCTCTTTGGTTTTTGTTTACCTAGAATTTTGACTTCTACGGTTGTGATTCCCTGTAAGGACGTACACCATGAATTAAGAACTTCACGTTACTGAAAATTTATGACCGTTAGATACTGAAGAAGGACAGGCAACAGAAGGTTACGCGCAGTGCTGGATTACGTCAGAATTGGATTTGTTAACAATTGCAGATTCGAACACCTGATTTAAGGCAACGGATCAGGTGACCTAAACAGGTAAGTCACCCGGGGAACAGGGCGCAGTTATGCGGGTGGAAAAAAGTTACAGTTAATAAAATCAGTGAACCAGTACAGGGTTATCAGAGTAAATTAAAGGCAGCCGAGTCCTTTCGGTTCTTTTGTCAAACAGGGCCTTTGCCCTGCCAACCAATATTTGGCCAATGCATGAACTGCACATGTAGATGAAACTAGTGGTTTTCTTAGTTAAGGAGGGAAGACACTGGATACGTGCTACGTAAGTTAACTCACACGTTGAAACTGTAGATTCAACTGTATTAATTGTAGAATCAGGGCTGGGCACAGCGGGTATCTGTCTCTCCATGACATTTTTTGGGTATCCCTCTCTCCATCTCCTCCCCCCTCCCCCACAAAAATTATCAATAAGCAAAGCGAAACTAAACCATTTTGCCATCCCTTTTCCCTACATATTTCAATAGTCCAATGCCCTTATTTTATATTTATATATATATATATAAAGAAATTATATTTATGGTCTTCTTCTTAAGGGTAACCAGGAATCCAGTAATAAATAATTTGAATGTGTCCTTTATGTAAAACTATCTCATAATTATCTGTAAAATGCGTGGTTATGTATCATTTCAATGGTGGGCGTGACTGCCATAGGAAGGCGGACAAAGGGCAGAGAGTAAAACGACTCCAGGTTACTCTATACATTTTGCCAGCTCTAAACGTCTTGTTAAGCATTTAGAGATAGCATTTTGACCCAAAAAATGTGCAAGAATTGACACAGGAAAGTCTTACCCGCCACTTTGTAACCTGAATTGAAATTTCTTTATTCAATCAATAAACCTCATTTTCAGGATCGTCTGCGGTATTAGGAAGTGCCGCCATTTATTGAACAGCAGCTAGAATAACGGACGTGAGACTGCATTGATATTGCGGACACCGAGGCACGAGGACGGACCCCGTTTATTCCCCTCCCCGTATAATTAATAGAAGGGCGGTACCAACAATGCGCAGAATTAGCAAAAATCTCTGGCCTGTTACAATTCATAAAGAGCGAGGAAATATGCATGTGAATGTGGTCCATGTTCTGGTCGGGTTGGTCATTTTCCAGGTAGTACTTAATGTGTTTTATTTGGCAAGTTTAGCGAGGCCATCTCGTGAGTGCGAAGATGGGATAGTAAAATCTGCGTCGGCATACAACGCTAGGAGAGGAAAGAGGACGGGAAATCTTGAAGAATTGGAGAAATCGCAAGAACTCTGTCTTGCTTATCCGCACACACTCGGTGAGTTATGTTACACTGGTGAAAGTGAAAGTGGATAATTCGAATATTTGAAAGATAAAAGAGAGGTAGAAAAAATGGGGTGAGCTTAAAAGAAAAAAGTTGGAAAAAGAGGGGGAATATAGAATGAGAGAAAGAAAGAAACGGAAGGGAAATGATAAGAAAAATATGAGATTCGTGATTGAATGTAAAGGTACTCTCTGAAATCTGGTTGCAAGCAATAATGTTAACAAGATTCCACCAACGTTCATGGACAACAAGTTTTAACTCTCTCCTTTTACTTCCTTATAGTCTTAGACGGTGAACTTTTGACCCGAATAATTTTGAAAAGAGATCAATGCACATTGGAAGCTGCGCTGTATTCATTCATTGAAAGTCGCCATACTGAATGGCGCCGAAGGTACCCATGACCTCTTCCCATTTAATCGCTTCAGCTTCCCGGTGTATTATCGAATTTCCGCTTTTTTACAGCTGATTACACCTAATGTTGTTTTAAGTCATATTTAAAATATCAGTTTACAAGTTTCGATTAATTGTGGTGTAAACAATCAGCCCTTGTTGTCTTTCCTTAATATGTGCGGCCAAGTCACCTTGAAAACATTTTTGACGGACGACAGTGTTAAAATAGGTTCTAGGTCTAAGGGCTCATTCCCATTTTGAAAAAGTACCAGTCTACGTAGATCGCTCCAATGCTGCGAGGGCTGTCGCTTAATGCAATCATTTTACACATTAACTCGTTTCCTCTTGTTTAAAGACTCACCATGTTAGATATTAATATAACAGACATTTTATTGATTTTTTAAGAAAATACCAATGTCACGGATTACAATATACATATCTATTCACAGACTTAAAGCTCATTAAGGCACCCCAGCAATAAGGGGAATGGTGAATTTCACTCAACACAGTAAAAAATGGAAATAGGGAACACGCCAACTAATTTATAAATGCGTAGTTTTCAACGGTTCTGGAAATGACGCTCCTTCATGTTCAAGGGGAATCTATTCTGTAATATCAAGGCCCTGCACAATTTATATGCCTTTAATTATTCCTACGTTTTATTGGTTTCAGTTGGTCGCATTACCATAGACGTTAACGTTACAAGTACTCTAGAGGACATAAAACACGCTATGCCTGCCATGACTTGGGGAAAATGGCAACCGACAGACTGCAAATCAAGGTACACTTATAGGTCTGCAGAGGGCTTTAGACTTTACTTTCGATTGAAAATTTTTTCTTCTGGAAGTTTCTGCATTTTTCCGTCAATCACCAAGGTACAGGATTCAACCTTTGATAAATTTATAAAAGTTGGTTGTAGTTTAAAATGACTGGCCAGTCATTATTACAACGACAATGAAAATATCAGCATCAGGTACTCCCTAGAAAAAATATTTAAGGGGTTAAATCATTTTAAAGGTGTATTTAAGGTTTTACAAGAAACTGTGGGTGGCAAAAATGAGCATTTGGGGGATTTTCAAACCTATGGAGTGCACCTTTAATTAGATCTATCTATCATGTAGTCCTTGAGTCCGGAGAATAGAACAGAAGAAAAGAGAATACCCAGGCGTAGAAGCTGTGTATCTAACATACGGACGCAAGCAGTTTAGACTACTCTTTGACTAAAGGGGTAGCTAGTAACCTCTTACGGAACTGTTAAATCTTATCCTCTACCAGGGCGACAGATTGATTTTTCACAAGATACTTATAGATATGTCTTTACATAAATAAGCAGTCGTTTAATTCTCTGGAATTTTGACAATTTGCCTATAATATCTGCCACTCTGGTAGAGGGTAGTCAAATCTTTTCTTCAGACAGAGGCGGATCCAGGATTATTTGAAGGGGGTGGGGGTGGGGGGTATGTATGCAAAGCCGATCCTCACCCCCCTACTTGGCGGGGGTTCGGGGCCCGCTGAAGGGCCCCGAAATTTTTGGGTATTTCAGAGGGCGTATGGTGCCATTTGGTACGGTTTAGAACTACGATTCAACTAGTCAAAATTATAATTTCAAGAGGGGACCATTGGTTTGATTTTTTTTCAGAAATCGAAGGTGGGGTCAGGACCCCCGGACCCCCCCCCCCCCCAAATCCGCCACTGTTCAGAGATACACTGTACTGGAGACCCTTGTGGTATCAGAGGGTATGGTGTGTATATTGTTCACAAGAGCCCTCTTGGTAGGCCTATAAGTCATGTGCACCGCTCGTTACCAAGGTGTAGCCTATGTGACATCCACCCGTGCTATTGCGCTGCTTATCTGTTATAGTTTCGCTTTTGATTGAAAAAATGCTCATTTTCTTTTTCAGCCACCGAGTTGCCATCATCATCCCGTATCGTAACCGCAGACATCACCTTTGTTTGTTGTTACGCTATCTTCACCCTTTCTTGCAGCGACAACAATTACACTACAGAATTTTTTTAGCGGAACAGGTAAATGGCGTTTATTTTTCTAAGAACTTGATTCAGGAGTTGTCTATTCAAGCCCATCTATCATGTGTAAACACATTTTGTTATTCCTGATTGCGTTTGCATCTCTCCTGAATGGGCATTCCTTGTAAAACGATACTAATAATGACAAACAAATCTGTCAAACACTATTATTGCCTTCACACAGAGAACAAACGTGACGACTGTTGCGCCTCGGTGGCAAAGTAAGGTACTATCCACAGAGCAAAAAGTTGAACAAAAAGATTGTGTGTGTGTGTGTGTGTGTGTGTGTGTGTGTGTGTGTGTTTCCGCTAATTTCATCACATATTAAAATTTCATGTTTCGTATTCCGTCCACCACTCCATTACCAATGTGCATGCGTTTGTATTGTAGACAGTTCGGTCCAATATAATTAAGTGAAAAGTAAAAAGTAAAAAATTTGTTAATGTACGCTTCTCAGGAAATACATGTATGTATGTATAAACGTGCAGAGTACCCTGTCAATCTACTCACTAATATCTGAGTATGAACGATGTATTATTTAACTTCTTTATTTATTTTTTTTTAATTCTTTTATCAGTTGTTTTATTTTCGTGGTGTCGTTATTTTTTATTGGGGGGGGGGCGTGTAGGAATGTTCAGGAAAATATAATTACTATTATAAAAATAACTAAATCAAATTATATATTTACATGTATCAGGCAGGAGTAGGCACTTGGAACAAGGGTCGCGTCATGAACGCTGGATATCTCGAAGCCGCGAAATTGTTCGACTTCCAGTGCGTCATTTTCCATGACGTGGATCTAGTGCCGGAAGACGATCGGAACAGTTACGGCTGTCACGACACTCCCCTTCATATGTCGTCTGCTCCGAGTCAAGATAAGTACAAGTGAGTATAGTTGTTTGTTTCTTTGTTTGTTTGTTTTGGTGTGATGTGACTGGTGTTAAGTGTGAGATAATACACTGTCACCCGAGCGATATATGCCATAACACCTCGAGCGTCAGCGAGAGGTGTTCATGGCATATATCGCGAGAGGGTGACAGTGTATTGTTTGACATACGTACCGAGAAAAAATACAGTCATTTCATCCTAAAACACCCCGAATAAAGTGACCCTATATCACGCTCTAGAGATGTTATATGAAATAAACTCGTCCACGTGCGCTGGTCACCTCCCACCAGATTCTTACGTAATGTCTGACCAATTTGGTCAATTTTTGGTAAATACTTGTCATGGACGTTCAACTGGCGTGAAAAGTATTAAATCAATCGTCGACACTGACCGTGCGCGTCTCAGCTGAGCCACACCTAGCTGGACCTTGAAAACGGGTAGTGTGGTCTGATCTACCGGTTTATTCTAGATCCGTAGGTGCCGAGTCTGGTAGTTGGGTAGGCCTGCACTTGTATGTTATACGTCGCCTCGCATATATACGGCTGTATTTCTTTCCTTTCCATATCCCAGAACCTTGTACAAGTCCCTTGTTGGCGGTGTGCTAAAATTTCCCCGTGAACATTTTCTGAAGGTCAACGGTTACTCCAACGAGTACTGGGGGTGGGGCGGAGAAGACGACGACATGGCGCTCAGGTCAGTTTAACCCAATTTTTTATTAATTTTTTTTGTTAAACCATCTCTCTCTCTCTCTCTCTCTCTCTCTCTCTCTCTATATATATATATATATATATATATATATATATATATATATAAAGAGAGAGAGATTTAGATATAGATATATAAAAATTAAAAACTATGATCTTAGTATTTGTTATACAGACATTGAAATACAGTTGTAAAAAGGTGCAAACAATGCGGTGAAAAAAATAATGATGAAAAGATCAATAAAAGGTAACAAAATAAAAACTGATATTTTGCGTTTTCGTGGCAAAAAAAGATAATGGCCGTTAGTTGAATCTCTAATTCCAGGCTAAAAGCATCCGTGTTTGGATTTGAGCGAGTCGATCTCGCGCTAGGACGATATACATCTTTAACCCACGAAAACAGAGATACAAATCCTCGCAGGTAAGTCCCGTGAATATAATTAAAATTTTTACTTCTAAACTGCATTTAGTTGATTGATTTCTATTTGCATAGGTCAGTTAATAATAGGACTGACAGATAATGATTTTTCATTATTGTGCTTGTAATTTTTTTATATATATAAAGGAAAGTAATCTTGACGGGCGTATTTTCCAAGGGTGGTCGTCTCTGAATTACAGACTGCCAAAAGTGACTGCTGTTTTATGCTTCGGCAGGTCAATGATCTGTCTCCATTCTCAGGGTGGGAAAATCAAAGTAAACTAAGTTTTTATGAATTAAAATAAAAAAAAACATTATAAATGTGGCTCTTTAAGCAGGTCATACACTGGGCAATTTGTAGAATAATCAATTATAAATGTTCTTATATTGAGGCATGATTGCATGATCGCTCTATATACAATGGAAACACTCATGTCGTTTTTGTTTTCATTTTAAGGATGGCACTGTTGAAGAACGCAAAAAGCAAGAAAAATTCCGACGGCGTGTCCGCCATACCATACCACGTGGAAGCAGTGACGGACGAAAAACTCTACACACATATTTTGATATCTATTTAAAACATTCTGTAGAGAATTTAATCACTAATTTTATGGTCATCATCATCGTCGTCATCACCATTATCATCATCGTCACCGTCTTCACCGTTAAGAGTCGTTAAAGGACGTAAAAGACATTTGAGTGTTAATGTTCGCAGTAGTTGGGACTTAGGGACCATTCCCACAGATATTTGGATCGATCTATCTCCCTAGGGAATCTCACTAAATTGCTGTCAACTTGACCGGTGTGAACGGAATGCAAGTAACCTAGGAACGCAAGTCCGACCGGACACTAAGTCCTGGGAACGTAAGTCCTAGGTCAAACGTTGCTAGGAATGGAGGTCCTAGGACATACGTTACTAGGATTTAACGTCCGTAGGACAACAGTTACCAAGGAATGCATGTCCCACCGCCAGGAATCTAACACCCCATTCTCATAGATTAGATCGACCTACATTGGATCGACCTAACTCCCTGGGGGTTCACGCTAAATAGCTGTCAGCCGGGCGGACCCGAAAGTTAATTACCCCTTATAGCTTGTAGTAGGCGGGGACGGACACTTAAGGCGGATTATCTGACAGTAATCTAGTGAGACTCCCCGCGGTGATAGATCGATCTAAAAGTTGTGAGAACAGAGCCTAAGTCCGGATGGGACCTGTTATCCTGATTTACACTAGGAATATATGTCCGCTCTTATTTTTCTCTCGCACCTTAAGTGAGTGATAGATAGATAGATAGATAAATAATATAATATTACCATTACTTTTAAAATATTTCACCTAAACAAATACAATGGAATAAAAAAGGTATATGAAGAATAACACTTGTTACATTTTCATATATTTATTTCAGTTCTTTTATTTATTCATCTGCAACATAAACTTTCAAATTTGCCCTGTTTACGGCGCCTTTCTGTGTGCACCCGCCTTCAATCTGGAGGATGTAAGCTCCAGATTTGGATATCCCCTTCACAACGTAGAGCCCCAGCCAGGAGTTTTCTTGTTTGCCCCCCTTTCTGTCACTCCTTCGTACATTTCTTTTCATCACTTTTGTTCCCACGGTAAGTACCTGTAAAATTAATTTAGATACCATAACTTGTCTTGATTACCATCCTCCACGCCTCAGACTTGTTCACGGGAATAGGGTTAAAGCGGTGGAGAGCCGTTGTTGCTCTGACATTTGTCACATTTAAAAATGAATTTTCTAATGTCGTCTACCATGTTTGGCCAATACTATATCTGTTCAACCTTGGCCAGTGTCTTATCTCGTCCTAGGTGACCACCTTAAATTTAAAAACAAGGAAATTAATACAATCGCATTTTATAGACACTTCACGTTTTTCTATGTCTGGAATTACGTCACACAATTAAATAAAGCAACGTATAAGCGGTATTGTGAATACGGAATTATTTCAATACATACTTACCAAGCGGTGATGTATGCAGTGTATCCAAATCTTTTTTCACTTCTTCCCTGTTTCTTACAACTTTTCGCCATACTCCACCAACATCATTATCAATATTTTCATTATGCCCTTCATCTGCTACGTCCCTCACTTTCCTCCTGCTAACTCTGTAATAGAGCTTGTCTTGTTCAATCTGAAATAAGCATTACAATATGCATATATGTGTACTCATGATGTTAAAGGAATTATTGACCTAGACTACTGTTAATTTGTTCGAGTTTAAAACTGAGAAAAGGAATCGTAAGCAGCTGTCCCAGGACCTAAAATCCCAGAAATGGTAGTCCCCCGGACCTAAAATCCCAGAAATGGTAGTCCCCCGGGCATAAAATCCCAGAAATGGTAGTCCCCCCGGCATAAATACCCATGAAATAGTAACTCCATGCAGGTCATTTATTCAAGGTACATAGGTCCATTGGACACACATCCCTGAAATTGTATATCTGCGTATTTAATATTGCATATTTAACATCATTATAATTGAAAGTTTACTTTATAATTAGACTTGCTTGTTTTCCGAATAACTCTTTTCTGTGTTGGTGTTGTCTCGATAGGATACGTGCCCTCCTGAAGATATTGGAAAATAACTTCAACTTCGGGCCTGGTCCGGGTGCTGCTTGTCCCTTCCATATCAAACGTCTAGTGAGGGTGTGGTATTCATATATGAGCGGTATTTATAGTAGAACAAGGTAGCGTGTGACATCTGGTTATGTCTGTAACCAATCAAAAAAATTGCTACGTGGCAAAAATGACGACCAGGATAAAACAAAAGAAAAAAAAAACTCACACGAAAAGTAAACATAATTTTATTTCTGTAAACGAAATTCGAACCTCCATCCAAAAACACAACTAGTCTGTATAGCATCCATTATGCTGCACAGCCTTACCACTACACCAGGGAGACGAACTAGCAAACCGTCGATTTTACGGAGTACTTATATGTGCTCACTAAAGCATGGCACTTATATAGTTTGGGGGATGTTTGATTATCTCCCCAGTTTTGTAACTTTGTATCTTATTAGTTTTCGTCATTAATAAATGACAATTACAGTCATATGGACTTATCTTACTTAATTTGGAGCAAAAACAGAGCTTCGTTGTGCTTGTGAACATTTGGCTACATAAATAATATTACTGCCAATAGTCATTATCCACTAGTTGCTATTTTAAATGGTCGGACATACATGTAGTTATAGGGCGGACCTCCATTCCGTTGACTAATGTAAAAGTAATGCAGGTCCGCCAGGAATAGAAGTCCTACCCTTTATTATATCAGGAATGCAGGTCCCATTAGGACTACTATTCCTCAGGAACGGTGGTCCGTAAGACCTCGGTTCCGGGCGGACCTGCATTCCGTTCACACCGGCTTAAATGTCTGTGACGCCTAGCAAAGCTGTTAGGGAGTAATTATCTTTACCTTCTAGCTGATTCGATGTAGGCATGGATAGATCTAGGCATGGAATCCAGTCTTAGAATTAGCCTTGGAATCTGCTTTATAACGTTTAAAGTGCAAGAAAGTGAGGGGAACGGTCTTAGCCAAGAAAGATATAAATCTTAGCAGAATAAGTTGCGCTTCACAGAGAATAAATATTGTTTTAATCGTTTCTTTTATTGGTCTTGTTACTTTGCCCCATATAAATGATTGTAGTAACTACTTTTTTTTTACTCTCAGGAACGACAATAGCCCACTAGAAAAGGTCAGCTCCATTAACTGGGCGTCAACCGTAAGTCAAACGTCACCTATATAGCGCAGTCGACTTTACGTAGACAGAAGTCGAATGTCCATGTTCAGTAACAGTTTAAGCTAGTTGCAAAAGTTATATATCAACAGAATTGCTCCGTGATTTTCCGTCACGTAGGCCCTATTATCGCGATTTCAAACAGATCTCTCTCATCTCAACATTTATCATCACGGTTTTAACGTCAATTTAATCATAACAATAAGTACTGAAAAGCGTGGTTTTATCAGTAAAGAGTCGGGATTATGCCTTTGCTTAACAGCACATCGTAAATAGGGGTCCATATCTCATAAACAAAATAAATAAATAAATAAATACCAAAAGCTGGCACTTGATTTCACTTCACACGCTGGTAATTTTCACATAAAAGACACAAAAAGTCTTTTTTTTTTGCCAACTGTAGACGTTATTATGTATTTATTGACCCCCCATGAACTGCATAACTTAATAATTTTCTCATATAGAGAGCGAAAGACCACTGGTACTGGAATGGGTGAACATAACACTAACCATAGTTTGGCGTTGTGATTTGGTACACACAGCTCTTCAGGGATTGCACTACATGTTTCTCCCCAACTAATGCCCCGAAATTCTTAGTAGAATGTCCAAGTATCTGCGAAAGAAACGCAGCGTCGTGAAGTGAAATAATGAAAGACCAGTTGGTTAAAAATTATTTTTTCTTGTTTAAAAACGGATGAATTATATGCAGAATGTAGTATTAATACAATGCTAGCTTTCATTTTTTCACCATTAAATTTGAAGGACATTAATAAATGATGGATTATGAATGATGCTTTTTTACGTTTTTGGATGAAGGTTATCTCTTATTTTTTCCTTTATTATGACAGTACGCTTTGATTAAATATGGTGTTATGGCGTTTATGAGGACGTCTCTTAAAATTTTCTGGTGAACTTGTTGAACTGTTGAACTTGAATGGCAATCATATATCAGCAATCTTCCGGTGACCTTGAATTTGACCTTGACCTACATTTTATCGTGAACTGCACTTTGCAAATGTTCTGACCTTTATATCACCAAAACTGACACCCATATTTACTTTTGAACTTTAATAAGAAGTCATATATTGGCATTGTTACTATGACCTAGAATTTGACTTTTAATTGATATTGAAAACTGGAGAAACTGAACAGGACAGTAAATATTCGAGCAGATGGCTTGGTCCTTCTTAAAAAGTGACGACTCATCAGTGACAACCTTCCAGGTTAAGTATTTGCCCATATGAACTTAGTTTCATTGATGAAACATGTGCTGAAACTAGGAAAAAACTTTTTTTTTAACTTTCGTCAAAAGGTTTTTAAAGAAATATAATGGTGAAATTAGGTGTCCTTAGGAATATACATTGACGGATCCAGAAGTTGGCTTCAGGCTAGGGGACCATATATGTTAAATGGGTTCATAAAGATGTACACGAGGAGAATTAAACTGTTCTAATATGTGATTCAAAGGAATGGAAAATTGTTTGAATTTGTGCCGTTATTCACTTTTTAAGATTATAGGAGGACGGAGGGGTGTGCGTATCTCTGAAGATAAGGACCTGCTATACACCTACCCTCTACCGGGGCCACAGTTTTTATCATTTGGACATTTTAGGCTGTATTCCCAGAGCTTTTAGATCGATCTATCCCCTCGGGGAGTCTCACTAGATTACTGTCAGATAATCCGGCTTAAATGTCCGTCCCGCCTACTACAAGCTGTAAGGGGGTAATTAACTTTCGTGTCCGCCCGGCTGACAGCTATTTAGCGTGAACCCCCAGGGAGTTAGGTCGATCTAAAGTAGATCGATCTAATCTCTGGAAATGGGGTCTTAGTTGAGGTGCAGAGAATAACTGTGAATTTAACCAGAGTTATCTGTGAATATCTTGTGAAAAATCAAACTGTGGCCCTAGTAAAGGGTACTATGCAGTCCCCACCCCACCCAACCCCCACCCCTCACCCCCCACACACTCCTCGTGACCACACCATTGTTTTACAGCGATCGGCTACGGAATTCATACAGGTCAATCTTTGAAAGATTGACTCTCTTATCTGAGAATTCTGGCAAAACAAACCACTTGCGGTGCAACCTTTTAATCAGGGACTAAATGAAGTCCCAAATGTTAGTTGCCACAGGAAATTCCTCCGCTGTTAACCGCATCACCCCCCCTCGCCCTCCTTTTTTCGTGTCAGAGTGATAAACAACATATGTATTCAGTTGTCTCTTTTTGCTCTTCATTAGCCTCCAGCAATTGCATCTGTGAGGGTGAAAATAATCGAAGACCCAGTTTTACACGAAGCACTTCATCGTAAACTGTAGACCTATGGCGCTTTGTGCGGTACTAGTTACACATAGATATATTCGAATTCGAGAGTAGACCAGGCATTTAGATAGGAGATATAGCCAGAAAGAATTGTGGTTGAAATTTGATAAAGTTATTCGCTGTTAAAGAAATAAGGTAAGGTTATCATGCCTTTTTTTTCAATTAATATATTCATCATGGATCGAGTCATCACTTAAAGACTTTTCCGCTTTTCAATCTCTTCATTTTCGTCGTTTGTGAATAAGGCTTTTGTGCATTTTCTTTTGGGTGTACCAAATGACCAGAAATTTTCCACGAGGCTTGTGGGATGCTTTCGAAAGGAAGACGGGACTGAATTAATCTCTTTTGTTGGCGTACTTGTGGATCTCTTTAAGAGAATGTGTTGTAGTTTGCAGAAATAAATGCTATCTACCAGCATTGCTCATTCTGTTAAAGAATTGATCCGCTTTATTTTTATCAGTGAATTACATATCTTACAACGATCATTTGGCATGGAAATGACAAACGGAAAGTATGCAGATTTGACATCGAGGTGAACACGTGTCATATATTTTAAGCACCCAGATACCTTGTTCTTACATATGTAGTAAATTCATCAGTTGTCGGAAATGCCTGTCATTGTAGCTGTTATACTATAAAGATCAAATGTATACTTATCCCCCTTCCTCTCCCCCTCTCTCCTCATTCCCATACCCCCCTCTGCTTTTCTTTTGGCCCGTTACCTTTATCCGTGTCTCTCTCCCTCCCTCTTTCTTTCTCTCTCTCTCTCTCTCTCAGACACACACACACACACACACACACACACACACACACACGCATATTCAAATTCTGCATGAGTAATGGTAAAGCGTGTGTATATGTAAAATTAAGGAAGTCGCAAGGCCGTGCTTCTCTGAGATCAGCGCTCTCTTCTCTCAGATTTTCTCTCAGATCAGCGCTCTCTTCTCTCAGATTTTCTCTGAGATCAGGATCTCTTCTCTCAGATCTTCTCTCAGATCAGCTGTCTGGACTTCAAAACACAAACAGTGATTCATTCCACGTAAGTTAACGTAATTCTATATAGTCTGTGAAAATGTCCCAGAGGCAGTCACGCAGTGGGACTTTTATTAACTCTCTGTACCATGAAAATATATCGTGAACGATATATTACTCCATGCTCTGTACAGACAAAATAGGCCTATATTTCAACAAAAAGGAAAATCCACATGGAATAACATACTTTGAGGCAAAGGTTTGGGGCAAGCGTTCGTGCATGGTTTTACTAGTAAGTTGTTATAGACCAATATTGAGCTTATTTTTACATGTATTAGTGAATAACGTATCTTACAACAATTATTTAGCATGGGAATGACGAACGGAAAATATAAATATTTTTCGTGCGTGACGTTACTACTGGGTAGTAAGTTGTTATAGGCCAATACTGAGCTGTAAGTTACTTTTCATTTAATTCAAAGCAAATTTGGAAAATTCTGATTACAGTCCCATTGAATAGTTTGTCTCTGTAAAGGTAACTTGTTTTAAAATGGATGGCTTATGTTATTGTTTTTTCTTTTTTTTTGCCATCTCGTCTAGAGAATTCCCTAAACATCCAAACACGTCAGATGAAACGGGTTACTCCATTCATTTCGTACTCGCTAAATGTCTTGTTAGGACGAGACTGCCATAGGAAGGGCAGAGAGTTAAACGACTCCGGGTTACTCTATACATTTTGCCATCTCTAAACGTCTTGTTAAGCATTTAGATGACCCCAAAAATGACACAGGAAAGTCTTACCCGCCACTTTGTAAACTGAATTGAGTTTTTTTATTCAATCAATAAACCTCATTTTCAGGATCGTTTGCGTTATTAAGAAGTGCCGCCATTTATTGAACAGCAGCTAGAATAACGGACGTGAGACTGCACTGGTATTACGGACACTGAAGCTCGAAGACGGATCCCGTATATTCTCCTCCCCGTTAATTCATACTGGGGCGGCACCAACAATGCGCAGAATTAGTAAAAATCTCTGGCCTGTTACAATTCATAAAGAGCGAGGAAATATGCATGTGAATGTGGTCCATGTTCTGGTCGGGTTGGTCGTTTTCCAGGTAGTACTTAATGTGTTTTATTTGGCAAAATTATCGAGGCCATCTCGTGAGTGTGAAGATGGGAAAGTAAAGTCTGCGCCGGTATACAACGCTAGGAGAGGAAAGAGGACTGGTAATCTTGAAGAATTGGAGGAATCTCAAGAACCCTGTCTTGCTTATCCGCACACGCTCGGTGAGTTATGTTGCTTAATTGTGAGTGGTTAACTTTAATATCTGAAAGATAAAAAAGAGGTAGAAAAATGGTGTGAACTAAAAAAAGTTGGAGAGAGAGAGGGGAGTGAGGAAAACATGGAATTTGTGAATGAGTGAAAAGGTGCTCTCTGAAATTGGAGATCTGATTTTAAGCAATAATGTTCCCCAGATTCCACCAACGTTCATTGATAACAAGTTTTAACTGTGTACTTTAACTTCCTTATAGTTTTAGACGGTGAACTTTTGACCCGAATAATTTTTGAAAAAAGATCAATGCACAATGGACGCTCCGCTGTATTCATTCATAGAAAAAACATTGTATTTAACATGGCCGTAATGAATGGCACCCATGACGTATATCGCCATCGTTTTCAGCTCCCGGGTATATTACTGAAATTCCGCTTTTTTAAAGCTGATGATGGTGTTGTTTTAATCATATTTTTATGTGTTTTAAGTCCCAATTAGAATATCAGTTTACAAGTTTCGATTAGTTGTAGTGTACACAATCACTCCTTGTAATCCTACCTTAATTTGTACGGCCAAGTCAACATGAAAACATTTTTGACGGACGACAGTGTTGAAAAGTTCCAAGACTGGGTTTCCATGCCTAGATCTATCCACCTGGATCGGTCTAACTCCCTGGGGAGTCTCACTAAATTGCTATCAACTAACCGGCTTAAATGGAATTTAGGGGGTTAAGATAATTACCCCCTAACAGTTTTACTAAGGGCTCATTCCCATTAATACTATCGGTCTACGTAGATCGCTCCAATGCAGCGAGGGCTGTCGCTAAATGTAATCATTTTCCCACATTAACTCGTTTCCCCTTGTTTAAAGACACACCAGGTTTGATATTTTTATAACAGATTTTTTTTATTTTTAAGAAAAATGTGAATGTCACGGAAAACAATGTACAAATCTGTTCACAGACTCCAAGCTCATTTAGACACTCCCGCAATAAAGAGAATGGTGAATTTCATTGTAAAATTAGGAATAGGGAACACGCTATCTAGTTTATAAACGAGTATGTCTCAGCGGTTCTGGAAATGACGCCCCTTTATGTTCAAGGGGAATCTATTTTGTTTTATCAAGCTCCTGCACAAAGTGTATGTCTTTAATTATTCCCATGTTTTATTTATTTCAGTTGGTCGCATTACCATAGACTTTAACGTTACAAGTACTCTAGAGGACATAAAACACGCTATGCCTGCCATGACTTGGGGAAAATGGCAACCGACAGACTGCAAATCAAGGTACACTTATAGGCCCGCAGTGGGCGTTAGACTTTAATTTCTATTCAATTTTTTTCTTTTAGAAATCTCTACATTTTGCCGTCAATCACCAAGGTATTATGGTACCAAATCTTGCACAGATTTGAGAAATCGAAGTTCGTTTTTAAGTTTTTTTGATTCGAGTTTTTGAGTCATTATCCTTTAGTTTATGAAAATTGGTAGATTTCACTAGTGATAGTAAAAATATAATTCTTTTAGAACCCGAAAACGGGGTTTTGGATAGTAATGGTCTCAGCCTATTATTTATTTATTTATTTGTTTATTTATTATTATTATTATTATTATTATTGTATAACTGGTAAACATGATGGGCCTTGGCGATAAAGGGGAAAGTTGAAATTTCAAGGCAGTTGCGACATACGGGTCTTTCGCTCACAGTATGTCTTCAGTCTAGTACTGGGGGCCAGTTTAACGATTAAATTATCTTAAGTTTGATATGGACCAGTGCCCATCGTAGTCTATTTCGAAGCAGAGACATACTTTGATATTTTAGCTTGGCTTTTCCTACTGAGATTACCTTGTACTGGCTAATAATGTCAACTTTAGAATATCAGCATTTAGAACGATTGTCCAGTATAAATGTCGAGGTTTATTTTACCACTTGGTCTAGGGTAAGCACAATTTGCTATGTGGTCTTTTCGAAATCCAACTTTGTCGACTTATTCTTTGGTAGTCTTCGTTTAAACTGATTTACGTACGGCGCCATCTTTTTATTTATTTATTTATTTATTTTTGTTTACAGAGTTCACAGCAATTCGTTAAAGCAAACCGAAATAAAATTTCATGTCTCTTCATAACTTTTCAACGTGTATATAAGGTTTTATAAGAACTTCTGGGTGGCAAAAATAAGCATTTTGGGGATTTTCAAACTCATTAGTGTGCCTTTAATTAGTTCTATCTTTATCTATCTTCGTTACAACGAAGAATAGAAAAAAAGCAAAGAAAACACCCAGGCCCATGCAGAAGCTGTTTACAGCTGTCACGCATATAGACGCGGTCAGTCTACTATTTGACCACAGGTGTCGCTAGTAGCCTCATATAGAACTGTCAAATCTCTTCTTCAGAGATGCACTGGAGACCACTGTGATATCAGAGAGTAGGGTGTGTATATTTTTCACGAGAGCCTTCTTGGTAGGCCTAAATGTCATGTACACCGCTCGTTACCAAGGTGTAGCCTATGTGACATCCACCCGTGCTATTGCGCTGTTTATCTGTTATAGTTTCGCTTTTGATTGAAAAAAATATGTTCATTTTCTTTTTCAGCCACCGAGTTGCCATCATCATCCCGTATCGTAACCGCAGACATCTCCTTTCCGTGTTGTTACGCTATCTTCACCCTTTCTTGCAGCGACAACAGTTACACTACAGAATCTTTTTAGTGGAACAGGTAAACGAGTTTTCTATTCAAGTCAGGTTTATCCTGTGTAAACACAGTTTGTTATTCTTGATTGTGTTTGCATCTATTTCAAGTTATGAATTTTTTTTGCCTATGCGAGTGAAATCATCATTCTCTCCTTTCATTCAAAAAGAGACAAAAAACCTACAAACTTCAAAATGGGAAAGCGTGTATATGTATTGTACGCCTGTGATCACTTTTGGATATGGTATGCGTAGGTGATTTGGGGAAAAAGTGCTGACATTTTCAGGAAAATATTATATTATGATTACCATTATAAAAATAACTAAATCAAATTATATATTTACATGTATCAGGCAGGTGTAGGCACTTGGAACAAGGGTCGCGTCATGAACGCTGGATATCTCGAAGCCGCAAAATTGTTCGACTTCCAGTGCATCATCTTCCATGACGTGGATCTAGTCCCGGAAGACGATCGGAACAGTTACGGCTGTCATGACACTCCTCTTCATATGTCGTCTGCTCCGAGTCAAGATAAGTACAAGTGTGTATAGTTGTTTTTTTGTTTGTTTCAGTTTGGTTTCTTTCAGCCTATCGTTCAGGTACCCAATATCTCAGGGCACGCTCACAGTGAAACTATCGTTCTTCGTTCTACTTTGCAGGGACTCTCGCTGAATGTAATCATAACCGAATGACACGCCTTCTGGAGAAGCAGGCGTAAGACATTCACATCCTATAGCTGATTGCATTCGGCGAGAGTCCCGGCAGAGTTGGATCGATCTACATAGAACGATAATGCCATTGTGAACGTGCCCACAGAGTACGAAAGTATACTGGTATTAAAGAGAGTTACTTCTCGGCCTTTGAGAGTGAGAGTGGAGTAATCCGGTCATCTTAAAGTAAAAAAAAATATTTTGATATATTTTTCTAATTCCTTTAAAACGGAAATTAAAAATTCGATGGCTGTTGTTTTCTTCTTATTTCATCTTTCTTTCTGTTTTGAAGACTGTGATATAACTGAGGAAAAACTTATTCATTGTAGATATTTAAACGAAATATGTTGATGACTGTGAAGTACCTTTGGATTAAATGCATATTTCGCATGTGTTATTTTAATATATCTAATATTTTATATCTGTTCTCTATTTTGATGAATTTATCATCTATGAATGATACAGAATAAGAACCACTCTCTCCCATTCTCTCTTTCACACTCTCACTCTCACTCTCTCTCTTTCTGTCTCTGTCTCTAGTTCCATATCTTTCTCACATCCAATTCCCCTCTCAACCATTATGTGGCTAATACATTTACAAGTACGTTTGTTGTATACCTATAGTAAATGCAGTAATGCAGTTTTATTCGTATTGCTATATCTCGCTTTACATTTTCAATTTTAAAAGGTTTCATCTCACGTTAAAGATAATTCCATTACACTTGTATATCATACGTTGACTAGCTTATTTCTTTTCTTTCCATATCCCAGAACCCTGTACAAGTCACTTGTTGGTGGTGTGCTAAAATTTCCCCGTGAACATTTTCTGAAGGTCAACGGTTACTCCAACGAGTACTGGGGGTGGGGCGGAGAGGACGACGACATGGCCCTGAGGTCAGTTGAACCCAACTTTTTATTATTATTGCTAATTTTTTAAGTTTTTTATTTGTAAATTAATTTTTTTAATATTTGAAATATATATGTATTTTTTGTCAGCTTACGTCACCAGAAACTTCTTCAAGTCTTTTCTCGCAAATATTTCGGTGCCAGGGATTAGGCTCAATATTAAAGTGAAAAAGAGACAGATAATTAAATAGATATGTAAATTAAATAAGAAAGCTAAAAACTTATTTTTGCTTTTGTTGTGAAGAAATTATAGTACAACCAAAATATCTGATCACTGAAGTGAAAAAATTCTTTAGCATAAAAATTGAAAATTTCAGTCCTACTCTTTGTTGTACATACTTTAAATGCAGTTGTAAAAACTATAATATTCACATTTGTCAAGTTCCTTAAAGGCGAAATTCTCATTCCAGGCTAAAAGCATCCGTGTTGGGATTTGAGCGCGTGGATCCCGTGCTGGGACGATATACATCCTTAATCCACGCAAACAGGGATAAAAATCCTCGCAGGTGAGACCCAAGACTATGACTTAACTGTCTGCTTCTTAACTGTAGTCAATTGATTAATTTCTGTACGAGTAGATCAGTCAATTAAATGAGTGACAGATAATTATTTCTTCGTTGTTTTTCTTGTAATTTTCTTATATTGAGTAAAGGGAAGTAATCTTGGCAGGCTTGTTTTCAATGGGTGGTATAGCACCCTGCATATCAGCCATAACAGACTATTGTACTTTGCTTTGACAAGTCATTGATCTGCCTCTGGTTCTCAGGGTGGAGTATATATATGGGTCAGCGCAATATCAAATAATATATTCCTCTATCCTTAACAATCTATCTGTATATGGAAGTGGAAAAAATTACATCTGCCGCTGTACACTGAACATTTTAAGTAAATAATCAATTATAGATATACTTATTGAGATAATCCATGTTTTTTTTTTTTCGTTTTCACTTCAAGAATGGCACTGTTGAAAAGCGCAAAACGCAAAAAAAGTTCCGACGGCGTGTCCACCATACCATATCACGTGGAAGCAGTGACGGACGAAAAACTCTACACACATATTTTGATATCTATATAAAGAATTGTTTAGAGAATTTGATCATTAATTTCATGGTCATCATCATTGTCGTCATCGTCTTCGCCGTTAAGGGTCAACGTAAAAGGACGTGTTAGACTTTTGAGTGTTATTGTTAGCAGTAGTTGGGACTTGGACTTAGCCTTGGAGTCTGCTTATACGTTTAAAGCGCGGGAAAGTGTGGGAATCGGTCTTAGCCAAGAAAGCTTGGGATCTTAGCCGACTAAGTTGCATTTCATCAAAAATAAATAAATACTTCTTTAATCGTTTTTGTCATTGGTCTTTTTACTTTACCCGATTGTGATTGTCCTAACTATTTTTGTACTCCAAGGAACGACAATAGCCCACTAAGAAATGTCTGTTTTATTCACTGTGCGTCAATTGTTAGTAGCATAGCTTAGTCGACTTTATGTAGACGGAAGTCGGATGTCCAAGTTCAGAAACAGTTTTAGCTAAGTCGCAAAAGTTCCCTTTCAACATGATTGCTCCACGATATATCTTGCCTTGGAGAAAAACAAAGCATGTAAAGACAATGAATTATTCTTTAAATCTAAGCCGGTGTAACAGGAATAGAAGTCCTTGGAATGGAAGTCGGGGCTCCCATATGATAAGTACAGGTTAGCAGGGGCGGATCCAGGATTATCAGAAGGGGGGTCCGCGGATGCGAACCCCCCCCCCCCTTGGCGTGGGGTTCGGGGCCCGCTGAAGTGCCCCCAAAAATTTAGTAAAGGGCGAACGGTGCTATTTGGTACGGTTGAGAACTATGATTCAGCTAGTCAAAATTCAAATTTCAAGAGGGGACCATTGATGTGATTTTTTTTTCAGAACCCCCACTAAATCTGCCACTGATTGCAGGCTTTCGTTCTTAAAAAAACAGAAAAAAAAAACAGTAGGCAAAGACCATTTTCCAATATATCATTTTCGGGAAAAAGTGTTAAAATGGCCATGTAATCATGTAATCTTTCAACGAACCTCTGTCTTTTAAAGCCTACATAATATTTAGAAAGAATGGTATCAAAGTAAAAAAAAAGTGTGATCAATACAACATCGCTCTGTGTTTTGGAGAGCAAACAGTGCCCTTTGGTGCGGTTTAGAACTATGATTTAGCTAGTCAAAATTCTAATTTCAAGAGAGAAATATTGGTATGATATATTTTTCAGGAACCGAAAGGGGGGGGGGGGGCAGGACCCCCTTGACCCCCCCCCCCCCTCTAAATCCGCCACTGGGTTAGGGTTAGTTGGAGTATTGGGGTTAGTATATAGTACGAATGTCACCTGTGCAAAGTAATGGGAAGCGGACTACGGTTCCTAGTGGGACTTCCATTCCTGTTACACCGGGACTTGGACTTACATTATTCGAAATAGCCGTCCCGCTATTACACTGGATCAAATAAAGAATGCATTTAGAACTAATCTCAGTCTCGTTAAATAATCTGCGCTGAACACTTTGATCACCCTGTCCCGTGACCTGGCACGGATATTTGGACCCCCCTTCCCCGCCCACCCCCCCTCCACCGTTTGTTAATGTTCGGCTGTTCTACTCTTATGGCTTTTTTCACGACCCTAAACCAATCTTTTACAATATCCATGATGATGGGGTCTCACATAGAGAAGGCAGCATCAATGGAATGGGACTGTCTGAACACAGCAGAATCATAACACCGACATAGCTTGTGTGGCTTTGTGTTTTGGTACACGCGGCTCTTCAGGGATTGTTTTATCTCCTCAAATTATGCCGTAAAATTCTCAGTGGACCCACAAAGACGGCGCGAAAAAGGCGCAGCGTCGTGAACTCAAATAATGTATGACCACTGGTTTAAAAATAATTTTTCCTGTTGAAAAAAGATGACTTATTTACAAGGTGCGATATTATTTCAATGATGCCTTTCATTTTTTTTACTATTTAATTTTGAATGACATCAATAAATGAAGGGTTATGCATGTTGGTTTTTACGCTTTTTGGTGAAGGTTATCTCTCATCTCTTCCTTGTTATAGCATTAAATTTTGATTAAATTTGGCGTTTTGGCGTTCGTGAGGACGTTACTTAAACTTTTTTCAGGTGATCATCTATGACAATTTAGTCTACTAGTTGAATATTCCCGATTCATCTTTTATAAAACTCCATTGTTTACAAGCTCCGATTGATAAATTTGATGTTACGGAGTATATGTCACTCAAATTAGCATTAAGCGTTTGTCGCACGCGCATTTCATTTCTGATGACAGAACATGTAACAATTTCAATTTACTTCCTGTGAGTTACATTCTAAGGAAGGATTAAGGGTGTGTATAGTTCCATTGTTAAGAAAAAAAAAACGGAGAAGGAAAACACAGTTTAAACTAACCTACGGAAACTCCATGGACTACATTCATCTACATTCATTAAAAGATAATTAACAAAATTCCAATAAATATAATATCTGTATGTTGGTTTTATCCTTAAAAGTTGATTGTCCGTTGATTACAGTCTGGCTTAATGTATTGGATCAGCAGATTTTTTTTGTCTTTTGATGAAAGGTCTCTCTCTCTCTCTCTCTCTCTCTCTCTCTCTCTCTCTCTCTCTCTCAAGCTCTCTCTCTCTCTCTCTCTCTCTCTCTCTGAGAAAGGTTATTGAGGTCATTGTCTTACATAATGTTTTCTTAAAAATTGGCGAGGGATTTTGATACGATAGAAAAATGTACTTACTATACCAAGTACTAAGACAAACAAAGAAATAAGCAAGTACTTTGATTAAGAGTTTATTCATTTCTCTCCATTATTTTGCCTACATTGGTTTTTTCTATTTATCTATATTCCAATTTCCAACTCTTCCAACTCTTTTACACTAAGTGACACTCGGGCGTTACGCGCGGCACAAAAGGTAAAACCATGTCGGAGGGAATGTAACTCAAATTTCAATGCTTGAATCTAACTTTAACACGCCGGTGCTGCCCCAGCAATTCTGGGGGGTTCACAAACACAGCGCTTGTGGCGGTGACCAATCCCCTTGAAAGGACAGGTGGCATGGGGGATGACGTCATTGCAGAGGTTGCCACGACAGAAGCACCAGTTGGCTCCTTCTTGGCTTCCGCAGCCATCTTGGCTGGCGTCGACGTTCAGGTTACCAGCGAAACAGCCTCGGTAGATAACTGAAATAGTTTCGGTGAAGATAGTATGAGGAAACTGGCTGAGCAAGACTTGAATTATTCAAAAACGTTCTGTTCCTTGTGTACAAATAGACCTTTGGAAGAAAATTGGCGTTCTCATTTTTATGCCAATCGCGGACGAATTAAACTTTTTATTCACCAAAGCGCTCGTGAAAATTTATACTGTCACTGTAAATAAAATTCCTTTAAATGTACCTTGTGCCTATCCCCTCCACAAAACCCTTCCTCTGTTTTAATAAACTGTGATTTCGATTAGCAATTTTTCTGCATTGAAAATGTACATATATTCATAATTGAAATTATATTGAAGAAAAGATAAAAATGTATTGCTTACATCCGTTCTTGTCATGGCGTGAGAAGCAAGCAGTGGAACATCTTACTGTTGACACCACGTGACTGTTTCTGTATGGGTCGGAACACTCCTTGAAAGTGTTGAAATAAGTTGCTGGAAAAGAAGATGAACGTGTAAAGGATTGACACCTGAAGTCGTGTGGAGTTTTCGTCGTCTCACGCGAGATGTGAATTCCTGAATGACGTCTCGCGTGGTTGAACGAGAGTTCTGTATACTCCTTGTTCCTTAGTTACTTTTTTGAAGTCCGTGAAACTTAGAATCAAAAACAGAGTCAGTCGTTTTAGAGTTATTTTGATTATAACAAGTGGATTTAGTAAACGTAAAACCTTAGTAAAACGTTTTACCCTAGTAAAACGATTCCGAATACTGACAGAAAATGTTATCTTAACCTCTTGCCACCTTTAAACTGCACACAACTTCAGCACTTATCGGTTTCCAGCTAATTTTAATTCTATATTACTTTCTACAATTTCAAAAATTACCAAATATCCTGCTTTACCAAAGCATACAGGAGCGGATTCAGAGATATTTTTGACAGTCTTCCAAATTATCTCTGTTGATCCGTTCTTCATTTTTGACCGTCTTCCGACAGAAAAAAATAGATACCCGTCAATGTAAACTTGAAAATCTGACCGTCTTCCGGAAGACCCAGAAGACGCCCTAAATCCGCCCCTGGCATATGTTCCGATTTTAATACATATTCTGTGTTCCGATTTTAATACATGTTGTTGTTGAGATTCTTCAATGTCACCATACATAGTAAAAAAGTCAAGATCTACTTGAGGGAGCGTCCATATTAAACTGGCAAAGCATATCAAAACTATACATACAGTATATGATAAAATGAAAATACGATACAATAAAATAAATAAATTGGTAAATAAATAATATAATAAAGAAGAAATGAAATTTACATCATGCAATATCCAACTAAAATCAGAAATGACTTTTAAGTTCTTATTTATTTATTTATTTATTGTACATTCTGAGGTTTATCTGTCTTTTTCAAGATGAGAAAAGAATAATAAACCAAACGAAACGTGTGTATTCATGTACTTACTTATGCCGTAGGCAGCATAGTTGCAGGAATAGCAAAGAAACCCTACGATAAAGAAAACTTAAATTAAAAGTCCGTCAAATTAATAATAAACATTAGCAACCTTAAAAATCTCGCTCTCACTTTATAGAAACACAATTTCACAATACCAATATTATTGTGCATTACAGTTTAAGCATATTAAAAAAAAAATATATATATATATACATTAAAAGTACAAGTTAAGGTACATTCTCTGTCGTAAATGAGAAAAGTGAATTTAAAGTCTTGTACTACGAAAAAAATATCGAAATTGCAACCAACACAAATTATGATGATTATGATGTTGCGCCTTAAATTCACCCCTTTGTTCTTTAAATTGCGCTAGACTCCAAAATGATCCTACCTTCTTCTCTAGGAAGTAAGTCGACTTCCCGAAAATTAGCAGTAGCAGCAGCGCCCAAAAGGAGAAAGCAGACGATAACGCTTGGCATCACCATTTTGACGGTGTATGATTTGCAACCTTCTCCGCGTGCGTTTTATACATGTGGGCCTACTTGTCGTCGGCGAATTCCAACACGTGCGTTTTGAATAAGTTGGAAAGGAGAAAAATGGGCTTGTTGCTGTTCATTTCCCTGTTCATTTTGTTTGGTGACCTCGTGTCGGGGCCTGTCAGGGAGTGAAAAGTTGACCTGATTGGTATTCTACGAGAGAATTTTGAGAGGGAAAGGGACAGACAGAAATTTCGAGTCCTAAAATATCGTTTACGCTTCCGACGAGGCCATTTTTCAAAAGTGGAAACGGAAATAACTGTACTTATTACTCTTTTTTTGTTTTTTCTCCTTCTTTTTCCACCTAACCTCAAGTGAATCTTTTCCAGGACGGACAGATTAATTCAATTGGAAATATAGGTTCAGAAGATTGGCGGTGGTGGCAAGGGGGAATTTATTCTTCGTGTTTCATTTGTACACCACTTCAGCAGGGCCCTTGAAATATTTGGTAAGCTAAAAGACAAACGTTAGGCGCACACCATTTATAAAAAAGGTGTCCCAAGTTTTCCGACGTAGGATATTTTGTTTTTATTTTATATAGGCTAATACAAGGTGCGGTGCATAACTCAACATTTTTTAAATAAATGAATGAATAAAACATTTTATAAGATTAGATAAATAAACATTTTGATGATAAATAAATAAATAAATAAAATGGTTGGGTGAATTTTTGCGTTTGTTTTGCGTATTTGAGATCCAAGTAACTAATCTTTGCGTCACTCTCGAAAAAAAGACATAGGAACTAGTAATTTTTTTACACGTGACAGTAAAATTATTTTAAAGGTAATTAATTCAAAGACCGGATTGCACATTTTTAAAAGGCTCTTTAACTGTTCTCCATTTCCGTCTCCTTGTCGTTACAGTATGATCATAACCATCCGTAATAGGTGTAGGTCATGAAAATACAATGTGCGTGCGACAAATGCTTTTTGAGTGACATATTCTCCGTATTTTCTTATTTGTCAAACGGAACTTGCAAACAGTGGGGTTTCTATAGACGATAAATCGGGAGCAGTCAAAGAAGTAGAGTAATAGTGACATTGAAGATCATCAGATAAAAAGTTTAAGAGACGTCGTCACAAACGCCAGACCGCTATAATTAATCAGAAACTTAATGTTATAAGAAAGAAACAGATAAACGAAAAACGAAAAAATAATTTATCAAAATTATGTCTTTCAGGTTTCAAGGTAAAATGGACATCCAGGCAAAGCCAAAAAAACTATTTATTGTACTATTGCGTTTTGCCTTTCCGAGAAAAGATCTATTGTCATGAAATCATGCATAAAAAGTGGCATGCAATAAAAGATTTAACGGGAACGGTCGCCAAGTAGAATAATGGCGTCATTGAAGATCACCAGAAAAAGGTTAAGAAAGGTCTTCACAAATGCCAGAACACCAAAATAAATCAAAATCTTGTGTCATAACCAGGAAACAGATAAGCGATAACCTTCACCGAAAAACGTAAAATTCATCATTCACCAAACTAATGTCTCTCAGATTAAAAACGGAATAAAACAAAATTTGCAAGGCATCATTGTGTAAATATCACAATGTACATGTATATATTAGCTACTGAGGCGTGCTTTATATAAAAATGAATCTTCTACTGAACTTATCAGGGAAGCTGACGACATTGCCATCCCACTGCGATGATTTCAGACGCTTCACCGAGGATCACACGGAGAAGCCTTACTGAGGTCCTTTCTTTTATATCGAGCGATTAACTATAGAGATACATCTGCATTGAGTGACCGTCACTTTTTTTGGGAGAGGGGGGGCATCATCCTAGAAACTGAATGTCTTAGAAAGGATGTGAAGGTGCGGCTACATGAGAGGATAAAGGGGGGGGGGGATGGTGGTGGGGTGGGTGGTGGGGGAGGTTACTTTTTGCAGCGCAAGGACAAGAGACAGGGTGATCAAAAATCGTCAGCGCAGATGATCCATGCAAGAAGGCTGAGAGAAGTTCCACCTGCATTCTTCATTTGGCCTAGTGTAATATAGCGGGACGGCATTTGGCCTAGTGTAATATAGCCCGACGGCAATTGTTTCCGATAAGGTGACCCAACATGGCTAATGTGAATAATGTAAGTTCCTTTTTTTAGATTAAAAGAATAATTTATTGTATTTGTATGCTTTGTTTTTCCAAGGATAGATATATCGTCAACAATTTTGATTTAGTATTGTTTTGATTGAAAAAATAACAACATTTTAAATGATTTATTTTCCAAATCATCGTAATAAGGCGGATAAAAAGGATTGTAAAGAGGCATTGCTACAATCAATTTGTCAATAACAGATCAGCAGGTCATTATCTTAATTTCTTAATTGATCATTAAGATGAATTCTTGATTATTTGATGGATTGAGTCGATCAACATTCTTACTGAGGAATTTCCCCAAAAGTGCTCAGGTAACACCGAGACAGGCCACACTCAAGTATTTCGAGTCTACAACTATAAGAATAATTTTGCATGGTAAAAATTTAAATGCACTGAAGAAAATGCAAAATCTTTGAAGGAATATATATATAATTCATCAAAACACTGTGCTTTCTAACCTTAAGCGGGTGCTATTGCTAGACAATGTTCAATCTGGTGATCCAATCAATAAATTTTTAAGTTTTTAATTTTTAAGTTAAGAAGTATAAGGGGGTTTGATACGTTAGAAAGGCCTACGAACATGTTGCAGAAAATCTTGTTCCCGTTTCTTTTTTGTGAAGGGCTAATTTTAATATTGGTAAAAAAAACAAATAAATAAACACATTAGTCGTTTAATTTATAAACCTACTTGTTTATGCGAAAAGGATGGCCAAGCGTTAACTGTTAATTTCATTGCTTTAAAAATTGGTGTTAGATAGTGATTCTACCATCTTGACAATATCGCAACTTTGCGTCTGATCGAGATAACACGGAGACAATTTGATCAAGGCCGATTTTCAATGATATATATATATATATATATATATATATATATATATATATATATATATATATAGTGGTGTGTATTTTAAACTTAAACACCTAATATTTCCTCTGTATTTGCAATGTTAGTACATGTCTTTGATGAAATAAACACCCCAAATATTTACCGAAGAAGAGTTCACAGATAAAAAAAGGCAACACAGAATCTTGCATTTTGTTTCTTTATTTTTGTTTGCACCAAAATTCAAATCGTAACAATCAAAATTCAGTCATCGACAATTGGGATTAAAACCAAATTTACGTGGAACATTCTGCAAGCCGAAGAACGAGAGAAGTCGCGACGCAGGGTGAGGGTAATCACTTTGCAAGGGCAAGCAAACATAGAACACCACTGCAAACAGGTGGCTTCGTCATACAACGCTTATGACGTCTACCTATTCCCGCCAAGGGACAGGTAGGGTGTGGGATCTCGTCGTTGCACAAACGACTGCGGCAAAAACACCAGTTAGCACCGGCCTGGTTACCGCAGCCATCAAGGCTGGCATCAACTCCGTGATTCCCGCCAAAACAGCCTCGGTAGATGACTAGAATAGAGAGAGAGAGAGAGAGTGACTTCAAGTAGACCTTATATGATTTCTACTAAATAGAATATGTAGATTCCAAACGATTCGTTCTAATTTTGCAGCTATTCAAGCTACATCGGCCTTACGACCGTCGGGGGATTGACTTTTGTCCACTTTAACCACCTTCAAAAATTGGGCTGTTGGGTCGGTATTCTTTATTATTATTATTATAATTATTATAATAATTATTATAATTGTATTCTAAGATAAAGTTTGAATACTCACATCCGTTTTTGTCGTGTCTTGCAAAGCAGGCCGTGTGGCACTCCACCTTTGCCAGCAGATAACCAAATCTAGCCGGATCCTCACACGCCCTGAAGGTGGTGCTATATTTACCTGTGTATACAATTTCAGAGATAAATTGAAAATAATTTCATGAAGCTTAACAAAAACACTTATGTGGGCGCGCGCGAGCGCGCACACACACACACACACACACACACACACACACACACACACCCGAATGTAACCATATCAAAGACAAGCCGATCCAGTGTGGAGTGGAAATTTAAACTGCCGTTTCTCTGACCGTGTTACTGTTTTCTCCGGCTCATAAACAAGACACACACGTATGTATCTCTTTAAGAAGAAAAATTCCACATCAACATAATTATTCTATAAGGTTCATGCCACTAAAATTACACAAAATTAGACATAATTTTCTTGAAGATGAAGGCAAACGATTTGATTAAGTCGGAGAAAGAATAGTTATAATCAGCCATGAAAGATAAAATTTCTTATGGTGACTTGTGACTTGTCATGTACAATCGAATTAACAAAAAAATCATATATAAAGGCGACTTTCTTTGCAACCCAGGTGTCTGACAGCGAACCGGAAGCATGGTGCACGGAATTTAGACACTCTTGCTTAAAATGATGAAATGTTTCGGAAATTAGAGATAAAATTATTGTTTTAAAGTTCACTGTGAAAAAAAAGGGGAAAAAAACTTTAATTTTGCTGGCTTGCAATATTGACAAGTTAACAATTTTCAAGTTACGAAAGTGAACGGAATCGCACCTGCGATTTTATCTTGGAATTGTGCATTATTTTAGAAATATTTCGATTAAATGAGAGAAAGAAAACGCATCAACGCACGGTTATATACTTTAAGAATTGAAACATGTAATAATAATAATAATAATAATAATAATAATAATAATAATAATAATAATAACGAAACCGCCATGCATTTATAAACGATTTAGGTCTTCATGAAAACGCCATTGACACTTAATTACCGACACGATCTATCTAATCATCTGCATACAAGTACCTACCAGTGATTAACAAACTGCAAAAAGAATCGGAGTACAAAAGTGGCTGATTAAACACTTACCGTTGCCATATGCAGTATTCTTGTAGTTACAGGAATAACATGTGAGAGCCGGTTTTCTTCTATAAACATCTGGTACCAAACATACTGCCAGAGCAACAAGGCACACGCCGATGAGAACACGTAGCATCATGGTTGATGAACTGACCGTGAATGGGGGTAGATTTTATTGCCGGGAATTTATACCAGTCGTTGCGTCCACTTTGCTATTCAGTCCACGGTCTGAAATTGGCCGAGCACAGCGTTATCAGAATGTTAATTGTCTTGGGTACAAATTAAGATTGCCTTAAGCAATGTTCGCAACATGGTTAAAATGAGAAATTGAACTGCACTATGAATAGAAATGAAAGACTAATTAGAAATTGGCATATGACCATGAGTCCAAGTAAAATTCCCAACAGTTCAAGAGTACATGTTCGTAACAGCATAAAAAGTTAAGCCTATACCATGGGCTGCATTGAAGACAAAATTACTCGAAAAATACTTGTTAGTTTTCATTGCAGGTGCGTGTATACGTATGGAGATCATGTACATTTATATGCTGTCCTACGCCAATGCAGGTGGTCATGTTTTGTCGGTGTTGGTTTTTCTGCTTTAATGGTCCCCGACAAGTCGTAATAAAAGTTCCTCCGAAATGTTGATAAAGAAATATATTATTTGAGAAAGAAATATGTGCTTATAGTTCCAACTTAGTCAGTGCCTTCTGATCTTCAAAAATATTCACTCTCTCTTTCGGATGTCTACCCTCTTGAATTCAATGTCTCTCTATTTCACTCTGTATACATGTACGCTGGCTATTTCTTTTTAAACTTTCATCGATTTACGTCGTACTTTATTTTGCTTATGCTAAGCCGACGTATTTATTATTTTGCCAAGTCCATTCCTTCAGTTATTTATTGGTGTGCTTCAGGTCATACACCACACATGTCTACATCATCACAACAGACTGAGGAAGACGAGACAAGTCTACGGATCTGACCCTTTGTTAAACTATAATCTATTAAAAGAACCAGTGGCGTCTTTTGTTATACTTCAAGGTAAAAATACAGCGGGTTCTCCTGTTATAACTTGTTCATACCCTAGGGCGGACGATGTTATCACTGTTTACGACATATTAATAACCTGGCTGTGCATAACACAGTTGGGGGGTGGGGTGGGGGGGGGCGCGTTTGATTAAAAAGATTTACTTGCGTTTTTTTTTTTTAGAAAAAAACATATACTATACTCTAATTTTTAAAATATAATCGCAATATCGGTCGTTTCAATCAGTTATTCCTAATTTCTTTACTTGGGTCTGAAAATGAGGGGCGTCGTTCGCCAAAGGAAGAAAAATGAACTCTTTCACGGACCTTGTCAAAGTAGTTCTGCTTCTCATGGAGGGGAATCTTTTTTAAGTTCTTTATTAGCAGATTGATAAACGTAATGATCATTTGCTAAAGATGCCAAAGAAAACGGATAACTTGCTTGAAATCCTTTCCCCTTACGTATGAATAAATTTGCGCTGTTCTAGCTTTCATAAAAAAAAAAAAAAAAAACTGAGTGTATTGTGAGAAAGTAGAGGCATGTCAACAGATCTGACCCTTTGTCAAACTATAACCCATTAAAAGGACCAGTGGCGTCTTCTGTCATGTTTCCAGGCGAAAGTACAACGGCTTCTCTTGTTACAACTTGTTCATACCCAAAGGCAGACGATGTTATCAATGTTTACGACATTTTTATAACCTGCCGGTACTCGTTTACGGTGTTTAGACAGGTATTAAGACTCGGGAGGTGCAGAGGGGGGTATGGGTATTTTTTTTTTAAATTAATTTGTGTGTTTGTGTGTGTACTTTCATTCCTTTTGCAGAAAGAGACATTAATATATAACAATGGTTAAGAAATCATCGCAATATCGATCGCTACAAACAGCTATTCATTAAAAAATTATTTGTCTAAGATTTGGGTCTAAAATAAGATGTGTCGTTCGTCAAAATAGGAAGAAGAAGAAATCCTTCACGGACTTTGTCAAAGTAGATCTATATGCTACTTATGAACGAATACCTGTTTAAAAAAAACTGATTTATCAGATCAATGAAAACGCCGGTCATTTGCTAATGATGTAAAAGAAAACTGATAATTTTCTCGAAATCATTTTCCTTTCTCATGAATAAAGTGCGACCAGTACAGTTTCTCTTTGCTTAAAAAAATGTTGTTTAATAAAAGATACAAGCAAGCGACAAATAACTACAAATCACCAATTCATGTATTGAACACTGACGGATACATGGTTATCCTATGGGGAGAGCAAACAGTTCTACTGTTTTATGAAGAACGGCCAAGCAAATGGCACTCAGGTAAATAAAATGACGTTTTTAGTTGAAGACAATCCCTGTCAAGAGAATTCATGTCAACGGTATTCTGCAAAATTACACCGCGTCTCTATTTGTGACCTATTCCTGCGCACAGCGACTATTTGGCTTGGCCGCTTTTTTCTTTGGTCCAGAGACAATTGTGTATACCCAGTACACCTAACGTTACTGTAACAGTCTCCCGGCTATACTCAGCACTGGCGGTATCTGGGACGTATTCGATATTTGTAGACCGTAGAGGTTCTGGAATTTTGGTGGTTAACAGCGCGTATAAATACCAATAGCCACAACATTGGTCCAGAGCCAATTGCGTATACACCGAACTTTTTTTACTGTTACAGCGCCCAGGCGGAACTAGGTTCTGACGGTACCTGTACGATATTTGTACACTGTAGAGATTTTGGACTAAAGATAGTAAAAATCCCAATAAACACCAAAAGCCACAACATTTGCAACGCAATTTTATTTTTCCAAATGTACAATCAAAAATTGGAGAAACAAAAAGGGGAGAAACAAGATTTAAAAAATAAACAAACTGACTTGTTTCGTCTTTCGCCATCCGTCAAGAGCGAAACGTAGCAGTATTTCCATGTCCAGATCTGGTCAAAGGTCGTCAAGGTTTACGAATATTGCTGCCCTTCATGTACCCATTCACGACGCTTAGAAAAAGATAACATTACGTGTGCAAAAGGGGGAAGGCCGAGCTGGAGGGTGTGAGATCGTGAAACATATCAAGGATTGGATTATATACGTTTTCCACCAAACTATCAACTGTGAGTACCTTCTTGCTACATGTAAGTTCGTTTTTATGATTAATCAGAACAAGAGACATCCGATATAATATAAAACATAGGAATATTATTGATGTCATATCGAAGACATCGAAGATATGGCACATCTGCAGACATTAAATAGATATGTTCAAATAAATAAAGTGAATTGCGTATAGGTAAGTTGGATGCAAAAACTTGGATATTTCTCAAATATACATCTAAATTTCCTCTCATGAATAGGTAGATTTCAACTAAAACAGAAAAAAAAACATTATATGAAACATATCTATATAATAAAATGCCTCTAAATGTCCTAAAAGGACACAGCGTTTGAAAAAAAAAAAAAAACAAATTTGTGCTACATCCATCCTACAGATAGACTCATTCTAAAACTGATACATTATTATATACATTTTTTTTCAAATTACTATTCAATATTCTTGTCTCTTTCTTACCAATTAAAATTAGCTGGTCTCATACCGTATATCTGAGAATATGTTAATTCAGTTGGCGCAGTTTCACTTTTCGAAATCTCTTTTGGATTTTCTAGTCAATCGTCAATATCTTCCACTGAAGTTATATATGTATTTGCCTTCCACATTTAACAATTTTTATGAGTGTAATGAATCAAAACACACTTGTGACATCCTAACAACAGTCTAGATAAAAAAAACAAGNGACTTCTCTTGTTACAACTTGTTCATACCCAAAGGCAGACGATGTTATCACTGTTTACGATATTTTTATAACCTGCCGGTACTCGTTTACGGTGTTTAGACAGGTATTTAGCCTCGGGAGGTGCAGAGGGGGGTATGGGTGTTTTTATTTATTTTTTTAAATTAATTTGTGTGTGTGTGTATACTTTCATTCCTTTTGAAGAAACAGACATTGATATATTGCATAGTTTAAAATTTCATCGCAATATCAATCGCTACAAACAGCTATTCATTAAAAAATTATTTGTCTAAGATTTGGGTCTAAAATAAGATGTGTCGTTCGCCAAAAGAGGAAGTGGAAATCCTTCACGGACATTGTCTAAGTAGATCTATATGCTAATTATGAACGAATACCTGTTTAAAAAAACTGATTTATCAGATCAATGAAATCGCCGGTCATTTGCTAATGATGTAAAAGAAAACTGATAATTTTCTCAAAATCATTTTCCTTTCTCATGAATAAAGTGCGACCAGTGCAGTTTCTCTTTGCTTAAAAAAATGTTGTTTAATAAAAGATACAAGCAAGCGACAAATAACTACAAATCACCAATTCATGTATTGAACACTGACGGATACATGGTTATCCTATGGGGAAGGCACACAGTTCTACTGTTTAATGAAGAGCGGCCAAGCAAATGACACTCAGGTAAATAAAATGACGTTTTTAGTTGAAGACAATCCCTGTCAAGAGAATTCATGTCAACGGTATTCTGCAAAATTACATCGCGTCTCTATTTGTGAACTATTCCTGCGCACAGCGACTATTTGGCTTGGCCGCTTTTTCTTTGGTCTAGAGACAATTGTGTATATCCAGTACACCTAACGTTACTGTTACAGTCTCCTGGCTCTACTCGGCACTGGCGGTATCTGGGACGTATTCGATATTTGTAGACCGTAGAGGTTCTGGAATTTTGGTGGTTAACAGCGCGTATAAATACCAATAGCCACATTATTGGTCTAGAGCCCATTGCTTATACACCGAACTTTTTTTACTGTTACAGCGCCCCGGCGGAACTAAGTTTTGGCGGTATCTGTACGATATTTGTACACTGTAGAGATTTTGGAATTTAGGTAGTAAACATCCCAATAAATACCAGAAGCTACAACATTTGCAACGTTATTTTATTTTTCCAAATGTACAATCAAAAATTCATAAAGCAAAAATGGAGAAACAAGTATTTCAAAATAAACAAACTGACTTGTTTCGTCTTTCGCCATCCGTCAAGAGCGAAACGTAGCAGTATTTCCATGTCCAGATCTGGTCAAAGGTCGTCAAGGTTTACTAATATTGCTGCCCTTCATGTACCCATACACGAAGCTTAGAAAAAGATAACATTACTTGTTCAAAAGGGGGGGGGGGGCGAGCTGGAGGGCGTGAGATCGTGAAACATATCAAGGATTGAATTATATACGTTTTCCACCAAACTATCAACTGTGAGTACCTTCTTGCTACATGTAGGTTCGTTTTTATGATTAATCAGAACAAGAGACATCCGATATAATATAAAACATAGGAATATTATTGATGTCATATCGAAGACATCGAAGATATGGCACATCTGCAGACATTAAATAGATATGTTCAAATAAATAAAGTGAATTGCGTATAGGTAAGTTGGACGCAAAAACTTGGATATTTCTCAAATATACATCTAAATTTCCTCTCATGAATAGGTAGATTTCAACTAAAACAGAAAAAAAACATTATATGAAACATATCTATATAATAGAATGCCTCTAAATGTCCTAAAAGGACACAGCGTTTGAAAAAAAAAAAACAAATTTGTGCTACATCCACCCTACAGATAGACTCATTCTAAAACTGATACATTATTATATACATTTTTTTTCAAATTACTATTCAATATTCTTGTCTCTTTCTTACCAATTAAAATTAGCTGGCCTCATACCGTATATCTGAGAATATGTTAATTCAGTTGGCGCAGTTTCACTTTTCGAAATCTCTTTTGGATTTTCTAGTCAATCGTCAATATCTTCCACTGAAGTTATATATGTATTTGCCTTCCACATTTAACAATTTTTATGAGTGTAATGAATCAAAACACACTTGTGACATCCTAACAACAGTCTAGATAAAAAAAACAAAAAAAAAAAAAAAAAAAAAAAAAACGGAGAGACAACCATCTTGCTTACTTAGAATAAAAAGTAAAGGCACTGTTACACATATTGCATAGCACTAACGGAGAAGAAAAAATACCTGTACTCAATAGGTTCGTAACACTTACGTCGCATATGCCGGCAATTGTTGGCGTTCATTCACGTGCCCGTAGAAAAACAATTTTTTTGTATATGTCTAAAAAAATGCAATATCATCATGCAGCCTGTATCTTCATATTAATACACTGGAAACAGGAAACAGACGCTCCAAGTTGTGCGTATAATCTATGTCCCATACGATACTCACAGGTAGGGCTTTACGCCAAGTGTGAAAGAGCCATAATGACAAAAATATTATCCCAAAATGGGCGTGGTGCTTACAGTGTACATTGTTCATTAGACACACATTTAAAACACGCCTCATAGAATTACAAAATTCTTCAAAATTCAAATGATAAAGTTTCTTCCAGCAAGCAATAGCAAGATACATATTCTATGTTAGAGTTAATCAGATAGTGATGTGGCCTCCAATTTTGCCCGCAGTTGCCTGATTAATGCACTTGAATCTTCAAGTCGCTGACTTTTTTCTTGGAGCTCCATCTTATATCTTTCTACCTCTTGCTTCATACTTTCATACCCACTGCGAAGTTTGCCATAGGGCGGGTCGGCTGTTGAGCCTAGAAATATAAAATATGTATACGCTATAACCTAATTAGAATGATAGTCAGGTGGTAAATTATGGGACACGGTGCATTTCTAGTACAAGAGGCCCCTCAATAGAAGCATTGCAGCATTTTAGCGTTAACAAAGTTTGATTTGTTTAGTTGCTGTTTCAATTAATAATGTAGGGAAATAAAACCCATGAGATAAAGACTTCTAGAGAGAAAAATACCTTCAATAGCTTTGACCAATGTGGGAATAAAATCTTGGCTATCAGCAAGGATAAACTTTTTGACTTTGTAAGCACTTGGCAGATCTGACGGTTTGAAGCCCAAAAGAACAGGGATCACCGAATAACCTTCCGTGTCTTTTGCCTTGACCTCGGCCACATCTCGTTCATGCTGGCACCACGTGCTTTTCATAAAGTTCTCAGACACCATGACTACAGTACACCTGGACAATTCCACGGCGTCTTCTATGCAAGATAATATGCTTCTTCCGGGTAGGAAATCACGTGGTGCATAACAACAACGGATATCACGTGACTCGAGCAGCTCCAAAACTTCTTCGACTTTAGGTTTATCCTCACCGCTGTGAATCAGGAACGCATCATATTGGAAGGATTCATGCTCCATGCTAGGGTAATAAAATAAGTTTTAATGAAATAATAAGTGTCACAGCTGAGGTTGGCCAGTTTTTTTTACTTCAGTATTCGCTTGNAGCCCCCGGACATTTAAGGATAATATACTAAAATCAAAACTCATAATAGCATTTTAATGAATTGACAGACATAACGTTTTCGTTGATATATATGTATGTACGACAATGAGTCACACCATTCTTTTCATCGCTTAACAAACAGACATGTACCACGTGCACACTTTTACTTTCGCACACAATCTCAGTCTTACGCACGGCCATTATCCACTTACTCACCTCATTTAAACACAAACATACACTCACACAATATACTACATATAAGAAAACGTACATGGGAGAGCGTTCAGTTTTGTGCGACAATTGGTTTTATGTGCAAAATTAAAGCAAGAGGAAAATGGAAAAAGGAGGAATAAAGTTCATGCTCAAGCGTTTCTTATCTTTAAATTAATATCATCGTGCAGGTCAAATTTCACCCTTTTTGTGCTGTCTTTCGGCCGACCATAAACTGACCCATTAAAGTACCATGCTTGATCAATTTCAGGGTGGTTAACGAGGCGCTGGATAAGTTGCGCGTTCTTTTTTGTGACGTCATCTGCCAGTCTCAAGTTTTGCCTCGAGGTTTTCATTGCCCTTCTGCACCTCATGAATTTAGCTTTTGTCTCCGTGTTATTCACTCGTAAAATTATAGGTCTCGGTTGTTGTGTTTTTGCCCCAGGTATACGATGTACTGCTAGAATGTCATCATCCCGGAGTGTTATCTGTGCTACTTCCTTCAATGTGTCGCGTACGACGGACTTGGTGTTCTCCTTTGTCTCTTCCTTTATCCCGTAGATTTTAATATTGTTGTTACGTGAATACTGTTCGTTGTAGTTTGATCGTTTGTCCGCCTCAATCTTTTATCTCCTCTTTCAATTTAAGTAAATCTTTGTCTTTCCTTGCAATGTTTTCTGTAAGGTTTTTATTTTCAAATTCCAGGAAGTCTAATTTCTCTCGCATATTGTTGATTTGTGAACCCATTTCTTTTTTCATTTCTTTTAACATTTCTGTAACTAAGGTGGTTACTAGTTCTTTCAGTTCGTCTTTGTTTATCATGTCTTTCATATAAGATTTTATTTCTTCTAGTTCCGCTAAGATAATGCTACTATTTTCTTCAGCACTTGTATTGGAGACTTCGCTGTGCGTACGTTTGGGTGTAGGCTCACCCTTTTTAGTGTTTTTTGTGTGTTTGGATGACATGCTGAAAGGTTGACAGCACTGCGTGAAATTTAATGTAGTCAGTGTGTATCATCCACTATGCGACGTTCGCGCAGACTATGTCTATGTGATGAGGTTAAAAAATATCAGTTATTCACCTTATTTGTGCTTTCTCCACCCGATCAGCTCGTTCACGGATGTACACTTGTTCAGAATGTACCACATCAGACGTTGGGTTCACTTGTCTATGTCAAGAAAGACCAATTTATGTCCCGTGTCCTAGAGTTCGTGTCAACCTCTACGCCATCTTGTCTCCTTTCCCCATAACTGTCCTTTTTGCAGTACAACAGAACATTTTGTATTTCTATGAGTTGTTCACAATGTTTTTATTGTGAAATATAGATCTCAATTATACGAATGGAACGTTAGTAAGTGACAGCATGCAGTGAATAAGAGCGGGGAGTGTTTAGTAGAGTAACTTAGGTTGATTGACATGCTCTTATGGTATTTATACAACTACGCTTAGTGTAAACAGAGAGAAGGCCGTTAGAGATTGTATGAGGTAGGAATAGAAATGAAGGAAGCGGCGCGGGTAATAACTGGACAGTAGTTCAATAAATAATAAAAAAGATAATATCTGAGTTGTATTTGCTACCTCGCGTAACATGAAGAAGACAAGCCAACAGCTTCGTCACACGAAGAGTTATTACCCCTTTGAATTAAGATTCTTTTGATTTCTCAATTTGAGGTCATTGTGGCATATTAAGTAAAAATTACACGCCACATCCGGTTTATACATAAATCGATAATAATACAAATTATTTATTTCTAGTACCATACATATACCTACCCAGTCCTCACTGCAAGGATCAGCTCCGTGCTGAATGAGAAGAGCTGCTACATCGCGGTGACCTCCCATAGCGGCGTCATGAAGAGGCGTCACTCTCATCTGAAGATGCACAATGTTGTCAATGAACTGACATACCAGACAAACAAAAAATTAATATATCATGCCATGTAAATGAATTATTATTATAATCAAAGGCATCTGAGGTGTCTGTCATAAAACACACATGCATATGTTTGTACGAGTCCTTTGGCTTTCAGTAACATTTTCAAGGAAGATTTTCAGCAGTTAATAGTATAACAACGAACTTATAGTTCTTGATTTTAAAAATTCTCAATTGTTTTGATAAGTGGAACAAAGGACCGCACTAGATTATTTTAATTTCTAAATTTGAGATTATTATAAATGTTTAAAAATAATTACATGGCAAAAGCGGTTTATACACGTATCACTAATAATAATCATAAAAACGTATACTCATGTACGAAAATACAATAAAGATATCCAATTACTGCGTATATAACAAAGACAGCTCGTATCCATGCACCAGGTCACAGCTACTTGAATGGAGCCAACCCAAGACGTAGTCATTTAAGAGACGATTTCACCAAGTACCACACGTACCTACCCAGTTCATACTGCAGGGATCAGCTCCGTGCTGGATGAGGAGAGTTACTACATCGCAGTGACCACCCATAGCAGCGTCAAAAAGAGGACTCCGAGCATCCTGAAAATGAACAATTTTTTCAATGAAATGACGTAAGTATCAGAATGAATTATTATAAAACGGGGTGCACTCTAAATTGAACGAATCAAAACTATTGTCATCTCTAAACAACAGTCCCTCAAAGAGATGACATATTAGTACAGAGCAGCAGGTAAGGGGATGAAGTACATGAAGCTACATGAACAATACTAATGTGTTTCTTCAGGGAAGACTGCTTATGTTTATCCGTTAATGTTTTATAAATATTAAGAGCGTGTGTAATGCATTTTTGGTTTACACCTTTGCACGACTTCTTTTGTTTTCTGGTTATATCTTCAAGGACGATTTTCAGCAATTAAAAGCCTTGAATTAAACTGTATAGTTCTTTATTTTGAAAATTCACAACTAATTTGATAATCGAATTTAAGGACTGAACCTTGAGATAAGATTATTTCACTTCCTCAAACTGAGATTATTATAAAGTATTAAAGATTAATTACATACCGAAAAATACATTAAATATATTCAATCACTACGTATATAACAAAGAGAGAACAGTGAAGGGATGGTTTACTTCAAGTACTACAAGTACAGTATACCTACCACACTGTACCTGCTGGGATCAGCTCCGTGCTGAATGAGAAGAGCTGCTACATCACTGTGACCACCAAAAGCAGCGCTATGAAGGGGCGTCTGACCCCCCTGAAGATATACAATATCATGCAAATAAATCACTATAAAACGGGGTGCACTGTAAACTGAATGAATCAAAATTATTTTCCACTTCAAACAACAGTACCTCAATTTTTAAAATTCACAATTTTTTTGATAAACAAACTTATGGTCTGGACTTTGAATTAAGATTCTTTTGATTTCTTTTTTTTATTTGAGGTTATATCGTATTAATATTGATAACATATGTGTCACATTTGGTTTATACACCCATCCATTATAATATATTACGATATTTCACGCAATGTAAATGGCTTATTATAAAACGGGGTGCACTCAAAATTGAAAGAATCAAAACTATTATCATCTTTAAACAACAGTGCCTCAAAAAGATGACATATTAGTACACAGCAGCAGGTAAGGGAGATGATTTTCATGAAGCCTACACCAACAACACTAATGTGTTGTTAAAGGGAAGACTGCTTATGTTTATCCGTTAAAATATTCCATTAATATTAAGACCGTGTGTAATGTTGGAAAAATATTAACAGTTTTTAGTTATCATTATTTCAAAAACACCTGAGGTGTCTGTCATAAAGCATACATGTATTTCAGATTTCCAACTTTGTTCAATAGTTTTCGGTTAACATTTTCAAGGAAGATTTTGAGCATTTCATAGAAATTCAGAAATGTTTTGACAAACGGATCAAAGGACCGGACTAGATTTTTTCTGTTCTTAATTTGATATTATTATAAATATTAAAGATTAATTACATGACACAATCGGTTTACACACGTATCAATAATAATACATAAAAATATTACAGCTCATGAGCACGAAAACGCAGTAGATACTCCAGCGCAGTAGACTACTGCAATCATACTGCAACCATGCTTCAAATCTGCTTCGATATGGTATCTAATTAGCATATTTGAAACATGCTTCTATCATGCTGCTAATCTACTGCATTAATGCTCGTCTCTGTATATGTTCTTTTTGGAGTAGACATATGTTCTTTTTGGAGTAGAATTGTAGTAGGCTATTTCTACTGAAAATATGCTCCACACCACTACTGCGTTGATGCTTCGATACTGCTTCGATACTACTGCATTTTCGTAAACAAAAATGCAATAAAGATATTCAATTAATATGTATATAACAAAGACAGACTAATGAAGAGGCGGCATATATTTCAAGTACCACACATGTACATACCTTGTTTGCACCGGAGGGATCAGCTCCGTGCTGGATGAGGAGAGCCGCTATGTCGCAGTGGCCAGCAGTAGCAGCGAAATGAAGAGGTGTCTGGCCATCCTAAGAAAACACACTGCTTTCAATGAAGTGACATACCAGACAGACAGGTATTTAATGACATGTAAATGGAGCATTATAATAAATTGGTGCACTGTAAATTGAACGAATCAAAACTATTTTCATATTTAAACAATATTGCCTCAAAGAGATGAAAAACTAGGTAAAGGGGATTTATTTACATGTTGATATTTATAATATTGTGCTATTGAAGGAAAGTCTGCTAACGTTTATCCGTTAATAATCCAGTAACGCCGTGTCTAATGTTGGGAAAATATTAGGTTTTTAGTTATTTCAAAGACATCTGAAGTGTCTTTCTTAAAACTCATATGCATTTCAAACCTCCTTTGTACGGCTTCTTTGGTTTTCGGGTTACATCTTTTAAGGAATATTTTCAGCAATTTAAGTGATAAATCTAACTGTACAGTTTTTCAATTTGAAAATTCACAAATGATTCGATATACGGATTTAAGGACCGGACCTCAAATTAAGTTTCTTTTGATTTCTCAATTTGAGATTATTTTAGAATATTAAAGATTAATTACATACCCCAATTGGTTTATTCACGTATTAATAATAATATTTAAAAGCACATAATATGTTAATGCAAAAATACATAAAATACATTTGATTACTACGTATGTAACGAAGAGAGACCAATGAAGGGGTGGTATATTCCAAGTACCACACATATACCTACCCAGGTCACTCTGCAGGGATCAGCTCCGTGCTGGATGAGGAATGCTGCTATATCGCAGTGGCCAGCAGTAGCAGCGAAATGAAGAGGTGTCTGGCCATCCTAAGAAAACACACTGCTTTCAGTGAAGTGACATACCAGCAATTTATTTTCAGCAATTTAAGTGTTACATCCAACTGTACAGTTCTTCAATTTGAAAATTCACAAATGATTCGATATACGGATTTAAGGACCGGACCTCAAATTAAGTTTCTTTTGATTTCTACATTTGAGATAATTTTAGAATATTAAAGATTAATTACATACCCCAATTGGTTTATTCACGTATCAATAATAATATTTAAAAGCACATTATATGTTAATGCAAAAATACATAAAACATATTTGATTTCTACGTATGTAACGAAGAGAGACCAATGACCACACAAATACCTACCCAGGTCACTCTGCAGGGATCAGCTCCGTGCTGGATGAGGAGAGCCGCTATATCGCAGTGACCACCCGTAGCAGCGTAATGAAGAGGCGTCCTGTCAACCGGTACCTACAAAATGTTATCATAGAGGTGACGCACCAGACAGACAAATTGTATACCGTGTAAGTGGACAATACAAATAAGGGTGCACTGTAAACTGAATGAATCAAAACTTTTTTCGTCATAAAAAAAAAAAAAAAAAAAAAAAAAAAACCCTGCCGCAACAGCAGGTACGGGAGATAATTTACATGTAGATGTAATACAATGCGTTGTTGAAGGGAAGACTGCTAACGTTTATCTGTTAATATTCCATGAAGACCGTGTGTAAGGTAGATATAATACTAAAACTTTTTAGATTTTTTAAAGATAAGTGTGCTTTATGTCCTAAAAATACAACTTTGATCTACATCGCTGTGGCCACCACTAGCAGCGTAATGAAGAGGAGTCTGGCAATCCTGAAGATACATAAATTTTTCGATGAAATGACATCCCCGACCAAAGGTATTTTATCACATGTTAATGGATCATTACAAAACGGGGTGCACTGTAAATCGAATGTATCAAAACTATTTCCATCTTTAAACAACAGTGCCTCAATGAGGGAACACTACTTTTATTCCAATTAAGCCCAAGCCACATCTGAGACGTCTGTTAAGAAAACACGTTTAAATTTCCACCTCTGTATGAGTTCTTTGGTCTTCGGGTTTTATTTTTAAAAATATTTTCAGCAATTAATGTATCAAAACGAACTTTTAAGTGGTTTATTTTGATAATTCACGAATGATTTGATACACGGATTTAAGGACCGGACTTTCAATTAAGATTATTTTGATTTCTCAACTTGAGATTATTTTTAAGTATGAAGTATTAATTACATGCCAGAATCGGTTTACACAAGTATCAATGATAATATTAAAAACCCACTTGTTCAAGAACGAAAATGCATTTTAAACAATTAAAAACTGCTTGTGTAGCGCAAGCAAACTAAGGAAGAGCAGGTACATGTATATTTCAAGCACCACACATTTATATTTACAAGAAAATATACTTACTTCGTTCTCACTGTAGGGATCAGTTCCGTGCTGTACCTATTCTGTACACTGTTTGCGAGTCATGTTACTGTGTAACTACTATCAACTATTCTCAAATTCCTTTTTATTCATATGAGTAGCAAATTCTAAATATGCTTTGCATGTTCATTTTTGGCAATGCTTACAAGTAAGCCCAATCCAACTGTGTCTGTCCTCTCGTTGGCATCGCATATTTTACTTTCTAGCAGTTGACGCACTGTTTCGATATCTCCGATTTCTGCAGCTTTTTGGAGACTGTTCTTGAACGTGGCATTGAATGAACGATATGCAGCCATTGGGAAGGACTATTCACCGGAAATGAAATTTGTTCAGCAGACCTGGAGTTATACGTTTGTACACCTTCAGTTTACATTTATAATGATTTTTTTTCGCATAGCAAGAATTTTGTGTTGCAAAATTCTACAAATATGAAAATGATTTAATATAATCACCACTGAAACACACTGTTATGTTTTATTATACATTTTTGGCGTCGCTTATCACATCCTATTGCAAGTAAAATAGTAAATAAGTGGTTTTGTATACTAAACATCATTTGTGTAGAAACAGTTTCATTTTAGAGTGGACCTTTGACAGCATACGCACTGCCTCTGGTACATGTACGTGGTATGCCCTGGCAAATATTACAGGATAGACAATAATTTAAGTCAACATCCTCTTAGGGTGGTCAAAATTAGGAAATTCAAGAGTAAACGTCTTCTAGTAAATATCAACGAATTCATTATGCACGCTCTAAATTCCTACTACAAAATAACTGGATATACATTTTAGAATAAGGTAAAACAGGGTAATTGATCGACTCAACTCACCTCGTTTTTTCTTGTTGTAAAGGGGAATACACAACAACTGGGAATTTTGCTGATGTTGGATAAGTTCGAAAAAAAAGTTAATACTATTTTTCTTCCTTTTTTCGTCTGAATAAAAGATAGTGCTTCTCGTCGTTAATTCGAATTCGAAGGTGATATTTGTGATTGCTGGATTTGAATACAGTCCGTATAAGTTCAATTGTTAACACAATACACCCACCCAAATATCATCTGATAACTTTACAAAGGCGTGATATAGTACGTACAGTCTGTGGTTTGTATATTAGTCTTTCTCCCCTCGTATCCTTGTACTGAATTTCCGTAAACTGTCGTGACTGTAATGCATCGCTCTCGGGAATCGACTCTGAACTGAAAGTGGGGAATTCCGACACACTTCTTCATTTTACTGGGTATTTGTTTATACGATTTTCTTTAAAAAATTCCAAAATATTAAAATATGCATCTCAGTGTACTTACTAGTATCATCCTGTTTTTAACATGTACTGGTAGCTACCGGTAATGCTACACTGTAGCAGGTGATCTTGTACGCTACTCTAGATCCCGCCAATATAGTCAAACGCTTTGAAATAGCTCCGTGTGCAATGGCCTGACTAGGTAAATTACTGTCCAGTAGGTCGTTTAAGGTCATGGGCCTCAATAATCTACATCGCCATTTTGTAGATGCTCGGACTAAATAGATGTCTTTACGGCTTCTATGTTAGCGAAGCATGTAATAGTGTGCAATATGCCTAGCTATGTGTTACGTCCTTTCAATCTATGGAATACTGCGTTTTATTTATTTACAGTATTATTTAATTAAACGTGATATCATATAATCATTTAAAACACTGGGAGAACAATTGTCTTGAGTCCCTACCTACCTTCCTCTTTCAGTATCGATATAGATGCACGGCAAGGGCAATCCCCATCAAACTGGAAATTTCCTGGTTTAAAATTAGATTTAAAAACGGCTTGATTTGGGGTTGATAAAAGGCTCCGATTAACGTCCATTTATCTTAATCGCGTATGAATTATTACTTACATCATTATTAATGTTGTGATGACAACGTGAGAATGTTTGCCTCAGGCTGAAAATGGGGAAGTCCAATCTTTGCATCCTAAATGATTTGTATATTCACTAGTCTTTTAAAGACAACACCAGAGCTCAATTAAGGCACCTTACCTACATTACCTTAAGCCTGGGTCACACTGCGCTTGCAACNGGTCGATTGACCGTATTTAGTCGACTGGTCGCTTACAAGTTTTTTACCAGTCGCAAGTAGTCGGCAGCAGGTCGCTAGAAGGTTGCAGTTGTAACTGCGTGGTCGATTGACGGTCTTTAGTATCTTGGTCGCTAACAGGTTTTTTACCGATCGCAGGCGTTCGAAAATAAGTCGCAGGAAGGTTGCAAGCGACTGCAAAAAATAGGCGTGGGATGGTGGGGCAAAGACTTTTTTCATAATTTGTTATGTAAGCCTTCTAAATATCAAGGTCATAAATTATAATATTTTAGAAAAAGGAAACATAAATTGCATTTGTTGGCAATATTTTATACCAATTGCCAAGGTATTTCACACTTACGAACCAAAAAAAATGTGATGATAAAAGCAATGTACGATTTTTTGACGCTACGTTTATTTATTTTATCATTTTGCGAAAATCATAGGTAAAATGCCGAAAACCTTAATAATATATCGCTGTATGTTAATTAAAATTTGCAAAGCCATATTATCAGAGTAAACAATGAAACAAATACACGAATGCAGAGAAAACGGAAAATAAAAGCAATTTAATCAGCAAGGTATAACTGCTACTTAATATCATAATTTCAACAATCAAAATTATCCACAAATAATTGAACAAATCGTAAAATGTGTCCAATAGACTTAAATAAAAATAGTTTCAACACAAACAATTTAACATCTTCCCAGTGCTTGGTATCCTCACTACAAGGATGGGAGTGTAAAAAGTACACGATGCGCATGACTTGTCACGATTTAATTACGTTGTATTGTAAGTGCCAAACGCCTAGGGTTAAAAAGACAAAGGCAAAACCACACATTCGGTTGCAAATCAGTTGCAAAGCAGTCGGCGACCTGTTAGTAACCGGTTGGATACCACAAGTAGGTTTTTCGGTCGCCAGGAGGTTATCGGTGCTGCACCGAAAACCGGCGCAACTGGATATTAACCCAGCGTTCATTTGGAAACCACTTTGCGAGTTGTTGCAACCGGTCGCCGACCTTTTTGCAACCGGTGACAGTTGCAAGTCGCAAAGAGGTTTTTTGTCCAGTGTGACCGTAACTGCACAGGCCTTGCGACCTCAAAGACCAAGTATTTGAACAAGAAAATATTAAAGAGCATTATGAGATTAATAAGGATTAAAACGTATGCAAGTTTATGTTTTTTATTACAGCACTGGTTTCGTTAGGTGAGGGTGTAGTCTTTTCAAAAGTTCACAAAACATTGTTGGTTCAATTTTTAGGAAGGAAATGAAAACTTCCTAATTTTCAAGTCGGAAGTTCTTTCATCAAATCTTTGTAATCGCCTTACAAGGGACGTCTTGCAATCCACGGGTTCACCCAGTATTTTCGAGTTTTTTTAACTCGTTTAACTTCTTAGGTAAACAAAGTCAATGATTATAGCAGTCCCGTCTTTTTGAAAAGGAGTCGTTTTACTAGAACATTTTTTGTCTTTTGAGAGGGGAATTTATGGGAAAGCAGCTACTGTCACAAGTTGGCAACATATATATTCTGTGCGACCTTGCTGCTACCAGTTGACAAGCGATTGCTACAGTCCTGCAACCGGTTTTCGGTCACCAAGTGGTTGCAGACAGGTTGTGTATCGCTCGGCAAATAGTGTGCGACTGGTAACCTATAACTTGAAGATGGTCTATAAGAGGCTGCAGATACCATACTGCAACCTTAATTAGCTTGTTGCAACCGGTTTGCGACTGCTTGCCGATCAAAATTGGCCACAGCTCCTTAATTAGCTCGCAAAGTGATCGCAAGCGACCGCCAGATTTTGTGGTTGCAAAAAGGTTGCAAAAAGGTCGCAAGCGCAGTGTGACCCGGCCTTTATGTGTACATATGTAGACAGTCATTGAAAGAGAACTCTTTATGGTTTGATTGATAGATAAGCTTGTTATCGTTTTCATTTCCAGTTTTCACTGGCGTGTTTATCCACTACCGCGGTATGCCGCCGTTTTGCCTAAGATCGAACTTAATATATTTCATCACAGCTTTATATAGTTAGTAAATAGTGTTGCAATTAACATTGCGAGTCCTGTCCTTATATCTATTAAATAAAGTTATTAATTTAACCACCATTATGGTCAGAGCCATATCATATAATTATCTGAAATATAAGAAAAATTTTGAGGTGCCACTCACCTTCCTGGTTCGTTAAGAATGACGTAACAGGGGAAAACCCATTGAACCAAACATTTTCCTGATGTTAAAATAGACTTGATTTTTTTCGTCTTTTCCTTGTTTTGAGAACGGTGGGGTTTTTTATCGGGATTTTCAAGTAAGTTTTAGATTATGTCAAAAGACTGATTGATTCGCTATATTTCAATATGGATGGTTTTCTGCTCTGAAGTAATGCTGTGGTGTCACATTACGTTTTATTTAATGTTATCACCGCTGCTTCTTTGTGCAGCCGTAGAACACCAATGTATAGTTTTCTTAGATAACGTATTGTGATCGATTATTGATATATGAGATATTTATAATATGCCATGTTAAATAAAATAAAATAGAATAATAAAATTTGAAACAATTAAGAGAAATGAAATTGAATAAAATAAATAGAAGAAAAATAAGCAAAAATTAAATTGAATTAAATGGAAAGCTATAAGCATTCACCTTGGAATATATTACGGATAAACACGGTAATACATTTTCGTAAAATTATTTAAGTGGTAAAATAACAATTTGCCCGTTTTCTTAGATTGGGTTAGAAAATTGAATACTGAGAGATTAATACTTGCTGTTATATGAAAATGTCAAAGGTGTGAAATGTTACTTTTCAGCATATACATGAATACTATTATATTGACATTCCTTTAAAGATCCCTGCAGGGGCACAGTGTTTAAATTTCGGCTCCGGTCGAGGGACGACGCGTGGAGAGGTGTGTGAGAGGCGGAGAGACCATTACAAGATGTAGAGGTCTTCCTTTCATGTAGGTCTGCCATATGTAGGTCGTGTACCAGTTAGCACTCGGATTTGCTCATTCTGAATGGCCCCTTTATTCTTTGCCAATTCCATTCCTTTAATCATTTATTGGTGTGATTCAAATCATCACTACCGGTACACATGTCTACATCATCACAACAGACGGACGGAGACGAATCAAGTCTTCAGATCTGACCCTTTGTCCAATTATAATCTATTTAAAGAACCAGTGGCGTCCTTTGTCATGTTTCCAGGTGAAAGTATATAGCGGCTTCAATGTTATCAATGTTTACGACATTTTTTAACCTACCGGTACCTGTTTACGGTGTTAAAACAGGCAATTACGATGAAGTTGGGGGGGGGGGCGTTATCATTATTATGAAAATTATTTGTGTGTGTGTGTGTGTACTTTCAGCTCTTTTGAAGAGCATATACTAGAATATACTATGCTGTTTTAAAATTCATTGCAATATCCATCACCACAAACAGTTATTCTAAATGTATGTCCCTACTTGGGTCTTAAAATAAGGGGTGACGTTTGCCAAAAGAACTCCTTCACGGACCTTGTCAAAGTACTGTAGATCTGCTTCTTACGGACGGACATCTGTTTTCAAAAAAATCTGTTTTAGGAGATTGAACGTAATTGCCATTTGCTAAAGATGCCAGAGAAAACGGATAACTTTCTCGAAATCATTTCCAATTACTCAAGAATAAAAATGCGACCAGTGCAGTTCTTCTTTCATAAAAAATGAGTGTATTGTGAGAAATCCGAGGTAATAAGTCTGCAGACCTAGACCCCGTAACTCGAAAGCATCGCGTATTGCAAATAACATTATCACATAGAGGCTACAATGTATTAACGGGGCGAGTATGGGCGGGTTATGAAATCGAGACGCTTGCGCTCAGTCGCAATGCGCAATGCTTTCGAGTTATGGGGCCCTGCATAGGCTCCGTAACTCGAAAGCATCGCATATTGCGATAGCGATATCACATTACATGGTGTCGCAATTCGCAATGCTTTCGAGTTACGGAACCCTGACCCTTTGTCAAGGTATGAAACAGTGGCGCCTTTTATCATGCTTCGAGGGGAAAATACATCAGCTTCTCCTGTTATAACTGGTTCATATCCAAGGGCAAACCATGCTATCAATGTTTACGACATTTTCATAACCTACAGGTACTGTTTTTTTAGTAAATAAGTAAATTACTCATTGTGATTGTTTAATAGCATGTTCACAAAAATTGTATTCATATTGCCATTTTCATCCACACAAGTGGATGCATATGTTACAGTGAAATAAACTATAAACTAAACTGTATTGATATCTAGCAAACCTATTAAATAGTGAGATTTATTTATCTCTTACACCATTATTTATAAATTGATCAAAGACCCCCTTCAGCACTTGTGTCATACATAAATATCTCATAGTATTAAGTAAACTGTCAAATCCCACCGAATTCCTTCAATAAGCACATAAGTTATCAAAATAAACATAAACCATGAATCCTGGCTCGTAAAATAACTTTATGGGTTTAATTTTCTGGAAAATATGCCTAACGTTTTGGACCAACGGTGTAAATACCGTATATACATGTTTATTACATGTACATTACCTGTATGTATACAGACAGATACGTATTACGCTCTACCAGGGCGACATAGATTTTTCACAGATATTCACAGATATGTCTCTAGATAGATAGATAGATGGTCATTTTGGTTCAAACTCACCCTGTTGAGAAATCTCGAGGCTGATTACATGGATGGTAATTGTTTGCATAACTGCTCAGGCACTGTCACTTAGCAGGTCCAGTCTAAGACTGCGTGACAGCAATGAAGACAGTTTATTGCTCTGACTTTAATCACTTGCTCTTCTGTGACAGATAAAAAAGCCTTAGACTGGTTGCGTAACGAGCAGATATCACATCGTTGTGAAGCTCAGCTCATGCAGAGCAAGTACAAAGCCTTTGGCGCGCGCGCAGAGATAATTTTGTTTCCACATGGAATTTCTGAACAAAGTGAGTTTGAACCAAAATGACCATCCATCTATCTAGAGACATATCTGTGAAAATCTGTGAAAAAATCTATCAGTCGCCCTGGTAGAGGGTAGATACGTATTACGTATTACCCAGACAATGCCCCCCTACCCCCGTCTAATATTAGAGTCATAATAGGGAGATGCATACAACGCAGCATTGAAAACACTAGCTTTCTTCCTCCCGCAATTTTCAGCAAGGAGCGATGTCAAAAGGTCCAGCCTTGGGCCATGCTATATAGATAATAGTGACTTAAACTACAGGCAAAGCTCATTCCGTCCAACCCCGCAGAATTAAGTCACATAAATACAAAAAAGTTCCTTCCTTTAACAAGATGCATCATCTACATTACAGTTAGTTAAAGGTCACTTCTTTCTGCATATCTGCCTTCTGTTGCCTGATCAACGCATTCGAATCTTCTAGTTGTTGTCTCATTTCTTGTAGCTCTGCTTTCAAGTTTTCATTCTCACTGCGGAGTAGATTATTCTCTTGTTTTACGTTTTCGTTCTCGCTGCGGAGCTCGCCATAGCATGGATCAGCTGTCGGACCTTCAATGAAAAATATCTGAATTGATATTTAATCAAAGTGGTGGTCAATTTAAACACTTCAATTGTATCTAATACTGTATATGTTAAATTTTCAAGAAATGAAAATTGCATAATTTATCTTTGTTAATTTTATCATATGGATATAGGATATTCACAGAGAAAAATATTATCGCGAACACAGATATTGAAGCTTATTCTGCGTGTGTAAAGTGTACCAATATATTGATTCAGCCAGTCGCTTCAATAATAAAGATTGAAAAATAAAAGGGATTCAAATAAAATTAATATAAATGATAATCAAATCTCATACGGAAAAAAATCAGTGCTACAGAAAGTATGGCATCGGCTTATTCAGACAGAGCTCCTATAATTAGCTCTATGCACGTACACAGTATGGGATTTTAAATTATTAATCACAGTTTTCATTATTTATTTGTTACGTTGCAAGCAGTCCTCTCAAGAGATGGTCTTTTCCAGTTGAGGTAGCAGACCGCTATATGGCGCAAAACAAATCACCTCATATGTATAAATAATTCCTCATGCTAAAATAATGAAAATGATTCTAATACATTGGAACGTTATCACCAGTGACAACCCAATTCACATGCCGAAGACATCCCCTAAGCAAAGTTTTAGGCTTCTTGCAAACTGTTCCCGCAAATGTGCTGCAAATTTGCAAAAATGAATTTTTACCATGAAACTGACGCAGTATTACATTTGAGTGGATATAAATACGCGTTGCAAAATTGCCGTAAATTCAAGATGCCTTTGCAACTTAGTAGCAACAGTTATTTTCTTGCAACAACCTGTAAACGGTTTCATGCGAACTGTTAAGTTTGCAGCAGATTTTGCAGCAAACTTTTCATTTTGTTAAGTGTTATGATAAACGGCGTGATTCCGTCTTAACGTATTAGAATCCAGTATTAGAATCATTTTTATTATTTTAAAATAATACAACTGTATGGATCAACACTTTCACTCTGAGAATGATTAATTCTGTCTGAAACACTCCGTCTGCCTTTAAAACATAGGCGTGGGTAACAAAAAGTTTAATATAAAATGCTGTAAATATAAAATTACTGTTAACACAGTACATGAGCTAAAAGAAAAAATACCTTTAATAGCTTTGACAAGAGTGGGGATAAAATCTTGGCTATCCATTTGGATGGTTTTTCTGGCTTTGTAACCGTAAGGCAAATCCGACCATTTCACGTCCAAAATCGCTGGGATCACCACAAAGTCTTCGACCTCAATTGACTTGACCACGGCCAATTCTCTTGCGTGTTTACACCAGTTCTCTCTTATGGAGTTCCGAGACAGGAAATCCACAGCGCATCTGGACAATGCCACCGCTTCATTGATGTTTGCCTCGGTTGATTCTGTAGACTTGAAATCACGAGGTGCATAGCAGCAGCGTATTTTGTGTGACTCAACTGCCTTCAGTACTTTCTCGACTACCAATTTATCAAAACTGCCGTGGATCAGGTATGCATCGTAATGGCAGGATTCAACTTCCATGCTAGGAAATTGAAAAGTGTAAATTAGAAAATTTGTAGGCAAGTTTCAGAGTGTCATTGCTTTATTTGGCATTTTCATACAATACACATGGCCACTTGTCGAATTAGAACATCAGCGGGCAATATTAAGGTTTAATTACCGCGCTTATCACAAACGTGTCTCGTCTACATCAACTGTGCCTTGGGGTACATGTAACACATAATCTGGATGAATATGTAGAAGCTTGAAAATGAAATGCACGTGGCTGACAAGTCGCATGGGATCTGAAGCTTTTGGTAGAGTATTTGCTAATCAGCATCAATGAAGAAGTGCAAATGTATTACCCGTCTCTTGAATGTACATGTGTATTACCATTTGTATGCAATAAAACATTATTTTTGACATAAAGGCACTCAAACAAAGATATTGTTTTAAGGCGATGGTATACAGGTATTGGCACTTTATATATTTATATATATATACAGTTGTATATATATATATATATATATATATATATATATACAGACTTGACATTTAATATGGAATATTTTCTCCAAATCACATTTAATCAGTTTTTTTTCCAATTTTGCTGACTGATAAATGAAAATAAGGATTAAAATCGTGTTTTAAAAACTTTTGATAATCTGTTCGATGTCATTGTGACATCAGTTCATTAACTGAATTCGCCAGTGAAGCAAACAAAAATGCATTGCCTATTTTCAGTCATACGAAAACCATTGAAAGCGATATTTTGGATCTCCATATTTTCCGAATTATCGTCTTTAAAAGAGTTACACGCCCTACAAAGGCCCCTCATGTCAGTGTTTAATCACAGCAATGGTCGCTGTTACGCCGGACCTCATCTTGCTGCTACCAGAGCTTTCAAGCGGCAAGGCATTCCTTAGGATTGGTTTTTAGAGTTTAATCTGGAATTAAATTCCAGGCACCGGTTAAAACTTGTCCAATTTGGTTCAGTTTTGTCGCAGGACATGCAGGCCGTTAATTCGGAGAGTAATGACCTACCCACATATTGTGTATGTGATTCAAATATGGCGATTTTGATGACCAGGG